GCACGGAGCTCTCTGCTCCTCTCCTCGACAGGAGCTCATAGCAATACTAGAGGACGTGGGAGTAGGGTGTTGCATCGTTCCCCTGGGGCCAAAAGGAAAGTCCAGGTCCTCCCTCCCTTCCTTCCTCATACAGTGCTGCTCACCTCCATCTCTTTTTTACGTTTACTTCTATTTTCATCACATTTTTGTGTGTTGCTTGTCATCGTTGCCTGGTAAGAAGTACAATGTCGTATTTGGTAAGTGGATATCTTGTGCAACTGGAAAATATATCTATATCAAAAAATGTGTGTTTTACACACTGTAACCAGTACCTCTGGAAGCTCTGCCACCAAGGAGCTCTCCGCCTTACCAGAGAGAGGCAGAGCCTCAAAGAACGGCGAGAGCAGCACAGGGGGCAGGGGGTGCAAGGCCCGGGCGGTCCGGGGCTCACAGCCCAGGCGCTCCCGCAGGTGCCCAGGGGTGCGCGAGGCCGGCCTGGGGCTGCTGAGGCCGAGTCCGCCTTGTCCCAAAAGGCTCCGTCCCTCCCCAGCTCCGCCTATGCTGCCCCAGGACCACCCCCCGCGAAGGACAGCGGGGCACCCGCTCCCCCCGGGAGGCCTCCCCCCTCCCCGGCCCGCTCTCCTCAGGCCAACGGGCCTCGCGGCCGCTGGCAGCCGTTAACGGACGGCGCGCGAGAGGGCGGCGGCGGCGCGGCAGCCGCCGGGGAGAGGAGCGACCCGCGCTCCCCACAGGCCCGGCCGCGCCGCGCCGGCCCGCAACGGAGGCAAGGCGGAGGGGCCCCGGAGCGCGGCCCCTTGCCGCCCTCGAGTCGCCTGGGCGGCGGCGGCTGCAGGAGGGGCGGCTCCGGGCCCCCCGGCCCGCTCCCGCGGGCTTCGGCAGCCGGGCCCGCCGCTGGACGGCCAGCTGAGGGGAACGGAGGCAAGGTTCACCGCTGAAACGCCTGGCGTTGTAGCGACCCCAGGAAGCAGCGTTTCATCCCGGTTACACGTTTGCGTTGAAGCACAGTGAGACTACTGTCGCCGTTCAAAGCATTGCACTGTCCCCTCAAACAATTCTGGTCATATTTCATCTTCTAAGCAGCTGCGAGGGACCCAGTCACAACCTGAATTGATGGAGTGTTTTGGGATGACAGTGAAATGTCAGATGAGGCTAGGTGGATCCATTTCAAAAGACAAGCTGTGAATTTAGTAAAATCTGAGAGATTACTGTCCCTGAGTAATGCTACTTTTAACAGGCAACTGCCAAGACCAACGTTTTTTTCTAAACCATGGCAAATAAGATGGCATTTTCCTTGTGTTGTGTCTCACTTCTGTAGGTGGAGCTATATTCGGTTTCATCAAGAAATGACTGAGATTACATGATGAGGTGGCTTGCTTACAATAGGAAGAAACTGGACACCATGATTCAGGAGAGTACTTTCAGTACCTTAATGGTCTATGGAGAAATTGCTGACTAATTAAAAGGTTGGAGATACTAAAATTCCAGGAAAATGAAGTCTTAAAACTTACTGTAGAAGTTATTGTTATGAGTTAGACCCTTGTCCTTATAAATGCAAACACGTATAGACTAAGAAAAGAAAACTCCTTTTATTCAATGTGCTAAATGACCTCAATGAACTTTTAGGATCACAGAGGTTGACGAGGAAGACCACCAAGTCCTCCTTCTTGATAGTTTCATCTGGAATCATATAATCACAGAATGCTTTGGGTTGGAACGGACGTTAAAGATCATCTAGCTCCAATCCCCCCTGCCCCGGGCAGGGCCCCCTTCCCCCAGCCCAGGGTGCTCCCAGCCCCGTCCAACCTGGCCTTGAACCCTTCCAGGGAGGGGGCAGCCACAGCTGCTCTGGGCACCCTGGGCCAGAGCCTCACCACCCGCACAGGGAAGAATTTCTTCTTTACATCTAATTTGAATATATCCTCTGTCAGTTTAAAACCATTACCCTTTGTCCTATCCCCATCCCCCTCCCGATAAAGAGTCCCTCCCCATCTTTCCTGTAGCCCCCTTTAAGTACTGGAAGGCCACTGTAAGGTCTCCCCAAAGTCTTCCCTTCTCCAGGCTGAACAACCCCAACTCTCTCAGCCTGTCCTCATAAGGAAGGTGCTCCATCCGGGTGGTCATCCTCATGGCCTCCTCAACCCGCTTAAGCAGGTCCATGTCCTTCTGATGCTGGGAGCCCCAGACCTGGAAACGGTACTCTAGGTGGGATCTCACAGGAGCGGAGTAGAGGGGGAGAATCCCCTCCCTTGACCTGCTGGCCACACTTCTCTTGATGCAGCCCGGATACGGTTGGCTTTCTGGGCTACAAGCGCACGTTGCTGGCTCACAGGCAGTTTTCCATCCACCAACACCCCCAAGTCCTTCTCCACAGGGCTGCTCTCAATCTACTCATCTCCTGTATTTGTGCTTGGGATTACCTTGACCCACATGCAAGACCTTGCACTTGGCCTTGTTGAACCTCATGAGATTTGCAGGGGCCCACCTCTCCAGCCTGCCCAGGTCCCTCTGGACAGCATCCCTTCCCTCCAGTGTGTCACCGCACCACACAGCTCAGTGTCGTCAGCAGACCTGCTGAGGATACACTCGATCCCACTGTCCATGTGTCCAACAAAGATGTTAAACAGCACTAGTCCCAGTACTGACCCCTGAGGAATGCCACTCGTCACTGCTCTCCACTTGGACATCAAGCTGTTCACTGTGAGTGCTACCATCAAGCCTATTCCTTATCCACCAAGTGGTCCATGTGTCAAACCCGTGTCTCTCCAATTTAGAGACAAGGATGTTGTGTGGGACAGTGTCAAATGCTTTTCCCAAGTCCAGGTAGATGATATCAATTGCTCTACTCTTATCCACCAACACTGTAACTCCATTGTAGAAGGCCAACAAATTCATCAGGCCATGTTGGCTGTCACCACTTCCTTATTTTCCATGTGCCCTAGCACAGTTTCCAGGAGGATCTGTTCCATGACCTTGCCAGGCACAGAGGTGAGACTGACTGGCCTGTAGTTCCTGTAGAGTGTCAGTGGGCCAAAAATATCAGTGCCAGCAATTAATACATAATGAACTATGTTGACTGACTGGAATTGGTTTTGGCGCTTTCACACAAATTTTGGTACCAAGCACAGTATTATTTAATATTTCATTAGTGTTATGAATGTAAATTTAAACCTAATGAGAACAAATGGCTCAATGATAAGTAATTATTACAGCATTATTTTTTAAAAAAGAATATTTTTTGCACTGACGTGAAAGGTTATGTGTCTGGGAACAAAAAATGCAAGATCACCCAAATGGGGAGCTCTCCTGAATAAAGCTCTGGTGCCCAAATTTTCAAAAAACGTTTAAAGTCAATTGAAATAAAGAAAAAAAAGACAAATATTATCTTGAAGCTGAAGAAAATTATTCCTAGGTAGGAACCTAAAGGGCTGAAGCTGTTTATTTTAGTTGAAAAAGACCAAGAGGCAATTTGATTGTACTTCACATGAAGGAACTACTTGTTATGAAATAGCTATCAGGAGAATGTACAGAATGGGTGACGAAAACCACAAGCCAGTTAAATATAGATTTTTTTTCTTTTTTTTTTTTTTCCTGTAAGAACCAACCATGCAAAGTACCAAGAGGAATGGTAGAATTACAGTTGTTGTATATAGAAATCAGCTAGATCTAGGTGTTTAGATCGAAATTGTCTATCCCTGGTATAAAGGGTTAGGCAATCACAACTTCATGCATGTACTGAGTGCCATGTAACAAAACAGGAAGTTGGAAGGGGATGATATAATATTACCGTCTGGTTGAAATTCAGTGTGAGTGTCTGTAAATGGGGATATATACTTGCTATCTAAAAGCAGTAGCTGCTAAATACGCCTTTTTGTTTGTTTGTCAGAAACAGGAGGGTTTACTCTGTTGGTGAATTTCTCTGCTTTTTGAAATTCTTCTGAATCAGTGTCATTAGTTTCTTTCAACAACTTTAAAGAAAGAATATACATTTCTGTAGCACACAGAGTTTTTGTTTGTCTTAACAAGTCAGAGAAATACACTGTTCCCTGTGGGTAGAAGAGTTGAAATCCATGGTTATTAGTAAAATGGACAATATTTGTATTTGTAGGATTATTATTTCAGATGAGTTTTGAAGATGTGCCTTTGACCTCAAAATTAACTCCTTAGTTTTACCATATAGACATTGAAGCAATTCCGAGACATGTATTGAGCTTTGTTTGCTTGTTTCCCTCCAAGAGCAGTAACAGGCACACAGATGAGAGAATATCTTAGGGTCCTAGATTTGGTTTTGGTTTTTTTGTGGGGTTGGGCTTTCCAGGGGTTTTGGTGTAGGTTTCTGCCCCCCAGTCCAGCGCTGGAACTTGAGCCTTGCCAGTTTACCCCCTGAGCTACACAGCAGCATGCCCCAGTATCTTGCTAGTCAGCATTATAAACAAAAAACTCAAGGCAGGGCAATTCCAGTTAACACTGCCAAGTTCTGCAAACTACACAAAACATTGGTTAATTACTCATTCCCAAATTAATTTTCCTCTTTTTAATGACCTTAGTTGTCCCCTCACTACACACTGGCATTCCAGTTGCACTGAGTACCCCACACCCATCAGAGTCAACACTTACCTTCTAAAAATCATCACGCTTCAGAGTTGCAGCAGTTAAGGATGAGTAATGGCTATCGCCATGTTACTTATTTGCAATTAAACCATACCTAGGAAACAAGTTACAGCTGGTAGCTATCTATTAATCTGGCTCCGACTACTAGCCACAGTTTCTGGCTGGCTGTTTCCTTGAGACGACCTTAAGTTCCTCCCCTGCAAGATATTTACGTACAAAAAGGATGGAAGGTAATTTGAAGATTTCTCACTAAACACCAGTGGTATGTTACTTGGTATTGCCGTTACAAAGAACGAGGTCCACGCAACGTGTTTCCAATCCTAAACGGACTTCCCCCAAGGCATAAAGTTTACGGGCAGCTTACAAGTGTGTGGAGAAGGGGAAGTCGGCGTGCTGACGGCCAGTACGGGTTTCAAAACTGGGGCTGGAGGCTTTGAGGACCAAGCAAACGGACTGCAACACGCTGGCGTAGAAATAAGACGTGCGCACTAGCGACATCTGTGCGAGATAAAGGGAGTCGCAAAAAGCTTCCTCTGTAACCTCAGATTTGCATGATTTGCTTTCCCCACCGAGGAGGGGAAGTGCCGCAGAATAAATGCAGACGTAGACAGATATCTTGGGAAAGAGCCCAAATTTCCTCTGCTGTTTGTTCAGGCGCCCTGTTTTGTCGTACGGTGATGCAAGCCGCTAGAAAAGCGCCCCCCTCCCTGGGTCCCTCCGACAGCCGCCACCCGCTGCAGCGGAGCTCGCTCTCCTCCCCGGCGGCGGGAGCGCAGGGAGGCGACAGCCCTCCCGCCGGCTCCGGGGAAGCCTCAGCGGTCCTGCCCGGCCAGACCCCGCAGCCCCACGGCTTTCGGCTCCGCAGCCCGAGGTACGCGTGCGTGCGCGGCGGGGAGCGGGCCGAGGCCGCGTCCCGGGTGGGCTCCGGCGGCGGGAGCGGGCGTCGGCGCTCGCCCCTCCGTCGCGCTGCCCTCGGCCCGGCGGCCCCGCCCGGCTCCGAGCTCCGAGAGCGGCCGGGCCGGGGCGAGCGCCCTGCACCGCTGCCTCCCGGCGGGGAGCGGGGCCGGGGCCGAGCAGCCCAGCCCAGCCCGCACGGGGTGCACCGTTCCCCGCGAGGGGCGGAGATGCCCGCCCCGAGCGCCCCTGCGACACGGGCGGGACGTCCCGCTGCGGCACCGGCAGCTGTCCCCTTCCCGCGGCTGCAGCAAGCGGCAGAACCTTGCGCTCCGCCGGGCATCCCCGCGCGAGCGGGCCGTGGGAGCTCCGCGCCGCGCCCTCCTGCGACCCGCCCTGCCCCGGGCTCCGCTCCGGCCCCGGCGCCCAGCGGGGCGCGGCCCGGCTCTCCTTCCCTGCATCGCTGTTTCTCCGCGGCGCAAGGTATTCTGCGGTGACTACCTCCCACGGTCAGCTGAAATGTCCTCTCGGGCTCTACCGTGCCTTCCAGACGTGCCTGGTAAAAGATCTAGTCATCTCTTACTACACGTCAGGAGGAGAAAGCGTAGTCGTTTTATGCGTGTTACCCATTAAACCAAGGGTCACCTTTGCCTTTACTCCTTTGTCAGTAAGTCCTGCCTCTGCCTTCCACTCTGGAGTAACAGAGTGGTCCTTGACTTCTTGGTTTATTTCACTACGTAGAAGGCATGCACTGTTCGGTGGTGTTTCATTTTAAAAGCTTGGGTATGCAGGTTTGGAAATGGAGATGCGGTCCTCTGCTGCGAACCTGAGTTTCTCTGCTACACAGACCAGCTGGAACTATAGACCCTATAAAAAAGGGGGGGAGGAAAAACCACTCTCAAAATGCATCTCAGCGTGCTTTACTAGAGGGACATGGAAATCACTGTGACTGCCCCACCCCAATCCCTACGGTTGATGTGTGTACTTACTTAAGTTGGCATCGCTCAGTTGTTTTGTACATTGAGTCTTTCCAAGGGTTAGCAAAAAGCCTTGGAAGTAAGCTGTATGTTTTGACTGCACAATAAAATCCCAGTGCAAGAGCCAGTTTCTTCCTTTCCACTGCTTACCTGGCTTTAACATGTTTATTTTTGTGGCTAGGGCAGGGGGACACAATGCCTTGACAGGAGCCGGTAGGTTTGAATGAAGCACTTCATATTCTACTTAGAAAAAGTGACTTCAGCGTTTTTACAATCACTGTTGTTGGCTTTGTGTACTTGTCTGCTCAACAAGTTTTCCTGCATTCAGCTGTGACTGTCTCCTCCCATGTATTGTGTGTGGCTAGGCACATAGCTCCACGCTGAAGACTTCATACAGATGCTGGGCTCCTGCAGGGTAGATGCAGTGATGGTGAATTTTGGTATGCGTGTTACTTTACTGAAACTTTTACACCAACCACAAAGCCAAGTAAATCTGATAGTGCAGATAGTAAAGTGGCTAGTTATTTTTGGAAAGTAAAATGCCTTTATTTCTAAAAATGTAGATAAAACAGGTAAGAACATTCATACACATAAAGCATTATCGGAAAGTGAACAAAAAATGTATGGAGATACAGATCAAAATGAAACAGGAAGGAAAGTGACAACCTGCATTTCACAAAGTTACTGGCATAGAAGAGGACATTTTAAAACTGTTTACCACCAGAGAAGAGAAAGAATTAAATTATTTGCCACATCTTCTTGTTTTAATTCCCTTTATTCTTATTCTCACTTTTCTTTAGAGAGATGCAATTTTAATTTTGAAGAGGACATCATCAACGGTTTTAAAATCAAAATGTTTTAGTAGTTATTTCTTAGAATTATTCTTTTTGATGGCAACCATCCCAACATCAGTAAAATTACTGAAATACTAGATTTTTACAGTTCAAGTCCTGGTCACTACAGGTTACTCCACATAACTTTTATTTTGTAATTTTTCTCCTGGTGCACTGCTAGAACTGAAAATACAGAGACATCTGTGGCCTGCAAACCAATACAATCAATTCGGATGTATCTCTTTTCTGCCAGCATAAACAGAAACTTTACGGTAGAAAAAAAAAGAATGGGTATAGCAAGTTTATGACCATCGCTGTTCTTTTGTTTTATACATTAAGCGTATACGTTGGTTTATCCATTAAACAGACTGAGAGTGTGACATACGCTCAGTCACTATGTCAGCTAAAGAATATAGTTTACCTGTCTGGGTGTTAACTGTATGAGGCTGAGAATATGAACAAAGATAAAACCAGTTGTCTTGGAGAGGGTTGTATATTGACGTTGGAGGCAGAATGCAGCCCCGGGCTAGTTCTGAATTAACCCTCAAGTGTGTAGAACAGGGCTGGAACCTCTCAGGTGTAGAAGCTGGTTGGTTTTAATGATTATTTCAAGGTGGGTTTTTTTTTGGTAAAATGACTGTTGTTATTCCCAAGGGAAATACATCTTTTCTTCTTTACTTTCCTCCCTATCATTCTTGAAATAGCTGTGAAGTCAAGCTTAGAGTTCAACCTGAGTTAAAACAGAGTCAGAACACCATAAGCAAATTACTGCTACTGCAAAATAAACTACGCCCCAACTTCTCCAGGAACCTATCCAATTCCAGCTTAATGTGCAAAAAATACAGGCCTTTCCATGGGGCAGTCAAAGGTGGAATAAGTTTTGAGTATTTTGAAAGTTCTTTATAGAGGGAACCTGGAAAGATCAGTCTGTGTAGACTAATACAGCTTTTATGGCTTACTGGCCAGTAACAAGGTCCAGTCTTAGTCACTTTCCTACTTGGAAATTAGAAACAGAAAATCAAACGACCATGTGGTAGAAGGGTAATTTTTGCAGGCTCAAGAGAACTAATTTGATGGAATATGTTCATGGAGCTACTTACTAGCATTCCCATAGAAAATGGTAATGAGTTACTATTTATTCCCATGTAACGTTGCACAACTCAATGAAATTTTTTGTAAAATAACAGAAATTGAAGGATGCTCTATGTTATTCTAAATAATGATAAAAGGCAACAGAGGAGGAGACCAATTATTTAAAAAAGCAATTTTTCAACAGGTAGTGAAACATGCCAGCCCTATTATAGTATTGTGCACTAGAAGAGAACTAGCCCAAGAACTTCCTTGCCTTATAAAGTAAGAAGCTTTGTTCTTAACTCTGAAACCTCTCTATGTGTTTTTGGCAGAGTGAAGATGAGTGGTGAAGAGATTCTTGTGTGCGCAGTACAACTTGGAGAAAATTTCTGCCTCTATTTTGCAGGTAATTACCCACTGCTGAAAGGGACGCGCTGTGTCTTCTTTCTGCATAGAAGACCAAAAGCTGATACACAAGTCGATCATTTCCTTGGGCTGGCATTCCTGGTTTTGTGGAATCCTGTTTTTCCCCTCCTTGTGTTACCTGAGCAATCCTCAAAGCAGTTGCAATCCTCTCCCACTTAGAAGAATGATAGTTCTTAGATTATGGAATCTGAGTTTGGGACAGCTGTCCCAGTGTGTTAAGAGGTCAGTACCATATTATTGCTGAACACCTTAAACATTTAATACATTTTTCTGTTTGAATACTGATTTTAAAAAAAGTCCTTTATCAGTCTGATTTCACCTAATTTTCCCATAAGCTTCAGTCTGAAGTACTGTTAGCCAAGTATCTGGGTCAGTGGAATATTTGTTGCTTCATACAATACATTCCCATAAAGGACACTCAGAAGGGTTGGAATACTGTGGGGTGAACGTGGAATAAGTGGATAACTTAAAATCTTACAGGATAAAGTTAGTTAGAAAACAGTTTCTTCTTCAGAAGCAATTTGTAATGACTTTCTTTTCCTTTTGCTCACTTGGAATAAAGGTGCTGATGAAAACAACAATTTGCATTCTGTTTATTCCTTGGTTATAGGCTTAAATTGACCTGAGCTGCTCACCCTTAGGTAACCCTAAACCATTCTGCATGCCTCTTGGTTTGGTGGTAACTCCAGTTCTCAAATGACTGGTGGTTTCATCATTCTGTTGAGTTTGTTATGCTCACAAATAGAACAGCCTGTAGTTAGAACAGCTCAGCTTAGTGAGTTAGTGACACTGGGGAGTAAAACTGGAAATGCGTAGGTGGCTGGCTGGCATCCAATCTTGCAGAACAAAACTGAATAGAAAGTGGTTTCTTTTGTGGGGGCAAAGCTTAATGTTTTTTCTTTTCTTTTTTTCACTGCTCACTTGGAACCAAGATGATGATGGTAAGATGAAAGCTCGTAATTTATTAACTTCATTATAAATTTTACCTGAACTAACCTGTTTGTGCTTACTAATCCATAAATGTTTTGTGTGCCTTGGAGAACAAGTTTTCAAACTGATAATGGCTCCCGTAAAAGAGAGCTCTACAACTCACCTTCTCCTTTAGAAGTTGATGTTGCTTTATTTCCTCCTCGGGTAAGAATAGTGTCTTCTCTAACAGATGAACCTTTTAATGCAATTCTGACTGTTGGGCAAAAGAAAGAACTGTTGCTTCTGAACTCTCATTAACAGATAGAGTAGCTTCTCTTGCTTATATATAGAGATAGCTGTATTCTGGGAAATCCTTCTGTCTTGCCTGGGTTGCTACAAGCTGGAGGTGGAAAGAATGACATGGCCTCCATTTTGTTTGAGACTACGATTTCAAGCATTTATTTCACCTGGTATCCTTAATGACAGTATTAAGACGATAGCAGACTTCAAGATCTGAGGAGATTACAGCTAAAACATTCGACCTCTTTGCTTCATATTTCTACAGGGCTGGAATGCGATGCCTTTTGTAAGGAAAAGATTCTCCACCGAGTCCTTCGAAATGTAAATAGCCAGTTGCTTGTGGTTCGACCAGATTTAAACATAGCAGCTTTTGAAGACGTGACAGATCAGGAGATGAAATCTGGTACACCATTTTTCAAATATACATTGCAATCACTGTGCTGTTTTTTAATTCTAGCTGTGCTTTTGTTCTTTGCAATCAGACTCTAAATGATAAGACTGACAGTAAAGCCTTAAACTTCATTTGTAAGACCAGCTATGAGAGCTGAAATTTTGTGTCTCATGCATTGATAATGGATTAGACTGAAGCCTGCAGGATGTCCCATGCAGAAAAGGGCTGTTAAGATTTTTGGTTAGTTCTGATCACAAGCTAAGTTCTTTATCCCATTTTTCTTTGTATTGCGATTACAAAATATAATTTTTAGGTTTAAACAGACAATGTATTTAGCACTAAAAGCTCTTACTTTCTTCTAACAGCAGTAGTTAACAATGTACTTATGATTTTGGCTTTTTTTTTTTTTGGGGGGGGGGAGGCCTCAGCAGAACTGTATTTGTTGAACGCACTCATTTACAGATGACTATTTACAAATCCAATTCTCACTTCATGCATGCACGTAAAAGGATTTGAACATCCTACTCATACTAACGGGTAACTTGACATGCTTTCTTGCAAATTCAAAATCTTGGTTACTGAATGATTGCAGAAAGTCAAGTATGTGCTACCAGCAGTCATAAAAATTCAAGTCCTGGCTCTCCTGTCAGGAAAAGTGTCCTGGGAAGACAGCAGTTGCGAGTGGAATGGTAAGATATAATACGGTTAAGCTGCAGCTCTCTCCCCTGAGCAGACTATTAATAATAAACAATTTATATTTAGGCAGTGGAATGCACTTCAACATTCACTATTACAAAACTACCACACCTTCAGCAGGGATGCCTGTTGCGTTCAGCGTCCAGGTAGAAGATAAAAGTTATTACATGTGTTGTGAGAAAGAATGCGGAAAAACGATAGTTCGATTTAGGGTAAGTATCCGCTTCCCATACTTACATATATATAAAAGTAGTAGGCAAGATGAAGAATGCAAACGTGTGAGCTGAAACAAAACTGTTCAGGTCTTGTGCTGGGACTAACCGATTCCCTTTTTCTTCCTCAGGAAGGAGAACTTCCCAAAGATATTCCTGGTGAAAGTAATGTAATCTTTTTCAAAAAGACATTTACCTCGTGTAGCTCCAGAGCATTTAAGTTTGAATATTCACTAGAAAAAGGAATGTTCTTGGCCTTTGAGGAAGAAGGCTGCTTAAGAAAATTAATTCTAAAGAAACTGTCAAGAGAAGATGAAGTGGATGAAACCACGAAGATAAGTTTCTAACTTCAGTCAGAATGGAAGTCACAACCTATGACATACTTCAACAGTATTAAAATACATTTTGGCTTTTTATAAAAGAAATACTATTCTTTCTTCATCTGAGGCAAGCCTGGTTTATGTTTTTAGCTACCATGAGTCAGTACAAAAATGAGCATCTTGCAAAGGAAAATAAATTCAAATGCTTGGGAAAAAGAAACAGAAGGATGTTTTCCAGTCACGATAGAAGGAAAGAAAATTACACAATGAAGAAATGAGAATGGGCATACCTATATAGTCCTGTAAGTTTCACCCCTAAAATGTTTACTGCCTGTTGATTGAACAGCTTTTGAAGTAGTTGTCTCATAAATGAAGTAGACCTATTTTGAGGAAGGAGAGAAAACAGCTTAAAAGAACAGATTTCCTAAGAACATTCATGCACTTGGCCAATAAACACTTTGAGATCACTTTTTTGCATCAAGATTATTTCCTGAGCATCTTCATCAATCTCAGTTCCGTAGTGACACTCTCACCTTCAAATGTACTAGAAACACACAATTTTTACCTTACTAGAAATCTTTGCTTAGAAAACTACTAACTTACCTGAACAATTAAAAGTTCTAATAAAGCTGTTTGTCATCAGAGAGCCCAAGGAAAAAATAACTTTTCTTTTATATAAAGGTTTTTAAAAGTTAACAGTAAATTGTAGGTTCGTGATGAAATCAAACAGAGATTTGTCCTTCTAACAATTTGAAAAAATGTAGATATGGCTGGGTCCTGTAAGGACCCTCTTTTATTCTGTGTATGTGATAACAGAGCATACATTGGGGTCAAGCTGTGAACTCCATTTCATGTTTGGAGCTGAGCAAGCACCGGATTTCACCAAAACCAAAATTAACATAATGCATTCTGCATATTTAATATTGGGGAAATGGATATGGCATATATTACTCTTTTCTTCTACATGTAAGTGTTGGTCTTCCTCTTACGTTCCAATTCCAGGTAGTAATAACTGGACTTGCAGCTGGAGTCCTGGGTCTTCAACTTGCTGTGCAAAAGAGCTGGTACAATTGTCATACCCCATACAGGCAGAAATAATCAGAGCAAACAGGAACGTGCCTCTTATCATGAATTGGAGGAAAATTCTCAAGCTTGCAGAAGAGATAAGACAAGTCTCAAGACTTGTTTTGGTAAAAAACAAACCAAAACTATAATTGTAGGGCCTTTAAAAAAGCAAAGAGACATGAAACTGCTGTGATAACCCTGACTTGCAGTTTTTCACATTATGCTTCCCCTGCCATCTCACCTATCTAGCTGCTACAGAGCACCTAGTGGCAGTAAGAAACCAAATCTTTAGAATCGGGTACAGCCACCCCTGACTGCACAGTCGCTTAAGAAGAATTAACTGGAAGTGCTTAAACTCAAGAATGCATTTAACACATCCGGATACCCAGTAGTACCAAGTCCCAGTTTTATATGCCTGATGAAGGTTCAGAAGTGGGATTAGACCAACTCATTACACCCATCACAATAATTAAGAAAAGCTAACTGTAATTAAAGGGAAGCGATTCAATTTCAACAGGACTGAAGAACAAACAGATGCAATTCGTAGAGAAAGCTGTGGTCATTACCTTTTAATTGTTGCCTCAGAACCACAATGAACCGCTCTCGAGTTGCTAGGCCCTAACATCGCAAGTCTAGACTCCCAAAGCTCTTACACAACACATTTCTCACACGAGGTATCTTAAGCAAATACCACATACAGATGCATCTTGTGTTTGGTCTCAAAAGAGGAAATGTCAAACACTTTCTACGATGCGTGCTCAGATTATAGAGAGGTACTTACCAATGACACATACATATGCATCTTCCTCATTGTGACAAAATAACAAATGTTACATACCTAAATAGGATCACATCAGACAGAAGCAACCAGCTAAACTCTGACCACAAGATTAGCAAAACAAAAGCGGCATTTCCCATAGTTACATGAATAAGTAAATAAATAAAAATTCCAATCCAGATTTAAAACAAATCAGAAAGTCATGTAGAATTGAGACAGCAACTTACTCATTCTGTTTATTGCATAATTGGACTGATGGTAACACACAATTCTCTTCATCTTACTAGTATTTGTACCACAGAATTACCATTAGAATGTGGAAACAGTTAACCACTCCTTACTATTCCAAAGTCAGAAAACATAGAGAAGAAAGTTAAAAACCAGAATCTCATTTCCTGCTCTAAACCCTAAAGATATAAAAAAGAATGTTGCCTCAGTCTCACATCAAGCTATGACACAAAGGGTCTGTTTCCCGTCTTTTCAGTCACAGAGGAAAATGTGTACCAGTGTTAATTTAAAAAACAAACTCCCCAAAAATGCTGCAGATGAACATACACATTCCAGGGAAACTATGAAAGCCATATGCTATTCATAGCTCCTAAAATTAATCTGAAAAAGTCTTTTTTCTTCTAAGTAAATTATTGCTGCATTTTCTAGTGGACATTACTCTTGTCAAGTCAACTCTACATCACCTCTTTAAGTATTAAGGACAATACATATTCATAAAAACATTTTTTGTTTTATAACATCTAAATGAAATAACACATAGTAACAGTATTAACAGTAACACAGCGGCATGAATTAGTAGTTGAACTTGATTTCAACAACCTATCCGGAGAGAAAGCATTTTAAGTAACCAAAAAGTAGTAAAAATCATTCAGAAGCACAGACACAAAATTTCTGTAAATTCTTTATTGTACGGATTAAGAAAACTTCCCTTTTCTACATAACTCTCAGGGTCCACAGAGTTACAGGGTATGCCTTACATACAGCTGTGATGTCAGAAATAACAGCTGAATTTTCTGCAAGTCCAGTTTGTTTTACAAAACAGGAATCCAAACAACAGGTTTTTTAGAAAAATCACTCATTAAAGCTGCCATTACAAGGAAAGTTACCTTCAGCTATGTACGTCTGTCATTGGTGTAATTAATTCCTCCCAATTTACAGTGCAGCTTAAATCAACTCACTCTCACCTGGACATTATCCACTTAAAATCTATTTCGTTAACATTTCTACTGTTGTTGGAGATTTATTTCTAAAAGACTAGCTCTGAACTTGCTGCAGTACATACATACTATGGACCCTTGGTTATTAATTTGTTTCGCATTAAACGTTGGTAAAAATATGATGAAGCAGAGGCAGCAGTGAACAATCATGTTTGTCAGGGGCTCGGTCGCATCTTAGAGGCTCCACAGCATGGCAACAGCCTTGCAGATACCAACATCGTAATAGTTAAAGTAGCAGAGGCCAGCGAAGGTAACGGCTGACAGTACGTACAGACCTGTATTGGCCAGTTTAATGGGTGTATCTCCATGGACATAGTCAGTTATTACCTGTCCAAGACCCCTACAGAATAAGAGGGAGAAAAAAGTTGAAATCAGGAAAGAGCATTCCTCACTGAAATTGACCCACTTCACGTAAGCATTCTAGTAAGATGGCTCAAACACGTAACTTTTTTCACCTGCTATCATCAACCTTTCCTAAAGAATGTCCCCACCCAAAAAGAAGATGCATTTATTTAAAAAAACAAAACAACATTCCACATACTCTATTAAAAAATACACCTATTGGCTCAGAGTTTTCTTAATGGTACTGAGGAAATAAGGTGTTGAGCACAGCTCTTTCAGACAATAGAATCTGTAGAATATGTGTTCAAGAAACAGCTAGCAGCTTATCTGACTTCCAAGGACTGAAGAAAAACCAAAGGAAATACCCTTCTTATTTGAACAGCAAGGTGCAGGTCTAGGACCAGACATTGTCAAAAATGTACAGAAGACTCCAGGACGTGTATTTAGATTAGAAAATAGTGGCAACCAAAAAATTTGCATACTCTGTTTTTTTTCCTACATCAGTCAGACTGGAAGTGAACTCTTGTCCAGATTTGAACTATCCAGTAGCAGGAAGACCGAGGATGCTGTTAAACTAATGTGGTAGTTCTCCCAGCAGTACAATTATATTTGCTTTCTGCAATGACAGATGTCAACAAAAAAAAGAGAACCATATTTAATGCAACAATTTTCTTCCTAGGATTTTCCCTTGGTCTAACCTGAAGCTGAAGGACCTGTGTCCTATAAATTTAAGACACACTAGTGCCCTAGAAAGGTTCGAACTCCTGCAGTGGATGCCACTGCAACTGAACGCGACTCAGTTTCACTTAGATGGGGTTCTAATACCATAAAGATGTCAAAAGAAGTGCAAGGAACCCCTGGATACACAGAAGAGAAGCAGAAGGTGGAAGCAGTCTGAAAAGCAACTACTTTCAAACTATTACAGCTATTGTTTGTAACTGGACAGCAGAATAAGGTCAGGAGTACAAGCAGCACTTACCCATACTCTGAGCCTTCCAAAGTGCAGATAAATAAGGCATACTCAACTTGGGATTCATAGGCTGCCCTTCAACTGTAGTGTTGCTCAAGGCATTTTCATAAGACCTTTTCTTTGCATGGCACAGTAAGACTGAGCCATGCTAAAGCTTCTCAGAAAAACTGGTGTGTGACTTTACAGCATACTAATTAATTCAGAGAAGGCCATTATGGGAAAAGACCGGTAATCCTGAGAACATGGAAGTAAGTGATAAACAGCTGATGTATGGTAGACACACAGTCTAGCTCACAACATGGCAGCTTCACTGGGCAAAGAAATCTTTATTACATGCCAGCAAAAACAGTACAAGACAAACATGGCTTCAGTTATCCCGAGTAAGTCTATTGATAGGTTAGTGTTTGGGGCTGATAACCACCTAAATATCTGAAACACTATTTCCAACTTATTTTAGGACAAGATTTCCTAAGGAAAAACACAGAAAAAGGTGAAAGAAAACCCCTTGAAAATACACGCGATACTCCTTTGCAGTTTCTGAACAGCTACTAGAGGGCGTACCTATCTATTATGGGAAACAATGTTTACAGCAAGTAAATTAACTTTTTTCTTTTAAAAATATTCTAGCACTCAATACCTATGAAATTACAAGCAGCAAATTTTCCTACATAGGAACACCTTTATGTTTTTAAGACAATGTATCGCAAGGTAAGAGTTTAATACTGGAGAAACTTTCCAGCTTAAAAAGAGAACTAAGAACCCACACAAGTGGGGGAGGAAATCACTCTGATGAAAGTTACCAGCAAAGCTGCACACAAGCAGAAAGACATTTTTCACACTGAGGAAGTCCCCATGCTGTTTATGGAAAAGGGGTTTCTAGTACAAACAATCCCCGACACTTTTGCCAACAAGAGACGTTCATTAAAAACATGTGCATGCATTGACACAAAATGTCATCCAGAGAACCGATTTCAACACATCAACCTGTAACAAACTGTTCTATTGTCTGGAATTTCCCCACATGTTGATATCCAGCATGTCACCAAGACCCACCTATCAAACAAGTGAAGAAATGCTCCAAAGGCAGGCAAGCTTAACTTTACATATTTTATATTTGAAAGAACTCTGCCAAATATGTCCAAGGGTAGCCACATTTCAGATTGATTCCGTACTAGATTTGAGGGCTTTGGGAAGAAGCTCCCAGTCACAGTGAGGAAAGTGCAAGAATCCCTGGTAAAACGTCGTAAGGGCAAAACTGAGATTTAAGAAAAACTGGCATCCCGAAGTACCATGAAGGTGCTTATCTGCTGTAAATCTGTGACAAGGAACTACAGACCTGTATCGCCTCAGGAATGTAAACGCTGCCAGTTAGGCCAACTATGCAGCTGGATCCACTCCTAACTAGACTTGTCTAGCCTTACTCACATTAAAGATCATAGCAGAACTACACATAAGAAGAACATAAGCAGGCATCCATTTCCCAGGAATCAAGAAAATAATGATTAAGGTCTCAGCTTTTTTTAGTGGAATATTTGCTATGAACTCTTCACTATGCAGAATCTCATCACCATTGAGATGTAGAAAGCCAGCCCACAGCACAGAACCTTAGAAGAACAGGTTGCTTTTATATAGATCTGTCCTGTTTTGGTTCCCTCTGTTCATGTAACACTAATTCTTCTACAAAATAAAAACATCCAAGATTCTACACAGCCAGTGGCAAGGAAGTCCTCCTAAGATAAGATACTGTATAGAACAACACTAGAGAGTATTTATGGATTCCTTAATAGTAATATATATCCTGCCTTCTGATTGAAAGAGCAGTGTGACAAAGGAAGACCAAGGAACAACTAATCTTGTCAAAGACCACAACTGTCCTGGAACTTGGAAAGTAAGGACTTTGTCTGCATCTCTTTGCAGGTGTTTTATACTAGCTCAGGAAATAAGTCAGTAGACTTACTGTCATATACAGATTTAAGACCTAAGGCTTGGAGCCACCCTCACTATCAGACTATACTCTTAATCCTGAGGAACCTATGGTGCTTACCAGTGGCCATGGAGAGTGAGGGCTGCAGCCAGTGAATAGTCCATGGCTGGTCCAGGATACAGGTAGGCTGCAGGAAGGAGACCCAGCAAGAGGACACTGACAGCTCGCTCACCTGTCCAGTGCAAAGATGCAGCCTTGGAACTGCCTGTAAGGAGAAGTATTTTTCAGTGCAAAGTTCCCGTTTGAAGTGCTGTAACTTTAAAAACAGATACCTCATCCTGATCAGCACCACAATTAACGTGTCTGACCTAATTACTAAGCTTTCATCCAAGCAAAACCTAGATGCCTTTGAATTACTGCTATAGAATGTTTATTTTACAATGTTCGGAAGGTTAATTTTAAATACTCCTCACTTTGCTGCTGCTAAGAAAGAGAAGCTGCTTTTAGTACAAAAGAGTAGAAGCTCCATAGGTAAAGTCAAAACAAACACCAGTCCTACTTGTATGTCTTGCAGCTCAGGATTAAGGTCCAAGTCAACCATCACAGGAAAGAAGTGTCTCTGAAGGCAAAGCCCTTTTGTCTAGTGAATTTCCTGACTTACATACTATTTACTACTCCCACCTTTTGAGAAATGGCTTTGAGATCCAGATGAACACAACTACAAGTTCCAGTGAATGGCACATCATGATAACTCTGTGCACAGGTCTGGCCAGGAACCACTATTTTTTAACTGTAAACAGCAGATAAAACTTCTGGGACCATCACAGTGATATATGGCCTAGAAGTAGCCTGAAGGCCAAAGGATTTCAGTCCTCCATTAATACTCAGCTGGGTACAATTTAAACCATGTAACAGATGACTCTAGAAATAGAAATACCAGTTAGGGAGCTCTGTAACCAACTGTTACTTTTTAGAAGCATGCAAATACTATTGGGGAAGAACCCCAACCCCCCCCCCAAACATCTAGAAGATTCTGGAGCAAACCAAAACCCTGACATCGTAAGTGGTACTTTGAACCAGGATGCCAGCATCAGCCCAGGCTAAAAACATCAAGAACTGATTCTCCAAAATTACTTTTATAACACAATACCCCCAGAGGGCTTACCTAACACCCATATATTATCCATCCATCTAAACGCATCTGTCTAAACACAAGCAGTTTCTTTGGTTTTGCACAGAGAAGGAAATTTAGAAAAGCGACAAGATAAGGAAAGCAAGGGCCATGAAGTAAAACATAAAAGGGACCTAGGCTGCAGACTAATAAGCTGTCCCTGTAGAATGCCACAGCCAAGAACACTTCACAGCACATGCATGAAGTCAGTTGTTAATATGAGGTCCAGAATAGAAAGGAAGGAAATGGCTTAGCTGTGTTTAAGCGAATTTCTTTTACAAGCCTTTCTTCATCCCTTCTGCTTCTAAGTTGCTTTGTAGTGGCTACAAAGCATCCTTAACCTCCAGTCACAACATTTCTCATATTTCTTTGTGCAACTCACAGACCAGAACTCGGTCTTGGCAAGGTTAGCTTTCATCACTGCTGTGTAGTCTTACCACAGGGAGAGAGGAAAAAACAATCTAAGAAACGCTCTCTGCCTGCAGATCAGACTTCACAGATTAACCTCAATGAATCGGAAGCTCTGCTGTTCAAGAAAGAAGTCACAATGGTCGTGTTTTCATATTATTACTGCTGCTGAACCATAAGAAACGTTAAACCCTTCTGTTTTCTTTTAGGAAAATCTTTCAACCCTTTTTCCACACTCTGAAAAACCACCACGTTTGTTAATACGCAGTGATTTACTTTCTTAACATTCAGTTAATATCTCCCATTTAAGGATTTGCAGCACTCCCACACGCGATACTCATGTCGCAAATGCCAGTTTCAAATGGCAAGCAGTGTAAAGTCACATACGTACACCTTGTTTTAAGCCAGACCTGGGGCAAATCAAGATTTGTGCCATCAACTGAAAACAGTACCGTCGAAGGTGATGGTAACACATTCTGGTAATACCGGTAACCCTACCTCACGAACCCAAGAAAAAGTACCGTGCCGGGCATCCATTTGTTCTGCCCGTGGTTACTCACACCGGCCGTCTAAAAACCTCCTACCTGGCTCCAAACACCGGCCACCCAGACCAGACGCGGGTGCAACGGGCACACGAAGGACGCGCCGCTTGGCCGGGCTGGAGAAACCGTTTGAAGGACGGGGGAATAACGATTCGGCGCCGGCCGACAAACCCGGTGCCCGGCGTCGGCCGCGGGGCAGAGGGGACCCGCCGCGCACAGCCCCCCGCACGCCCCGCCGCGCACAGCGGGGGCTGCCCCGGGGCGCGGGACGTACCGTGGCCCTGCTGGGGGGGACCGTGGCTTCGGCGGGCCGGAGCGGTCCGATCGGCGACAGCCGCCAGGACCGCGGGGCGGCGGAGAAGGGTCCTCCCGAGGAGAGCTGCGGAGAGAACGGGAACGCGGTGTCAGGGCAGGGCAGGGCAGGGCGAGGGGCCGGCGGGCGCTCGGGCACTCACTCACTCACCCGCCTGGGCGCCGCGGGGCCGCGCCAGCCCCGTCCGCAGCAACACCAACCCCGGCATCGTCCCCAGCCGCCCAAGGGCACCGCGCACCGGAGCCGGAAGTCGCTGCCGCCGCAGCCCTTCCGCTTCCGGGCTGGGGCGGGCGCGGAGCTGCGGGCAGGGCCGGGGCCGCCGCCGGCGGGAGGCAGGGGCGGTTCGCGCCCGAGGCCTCCGGGCCGCCCCCAGCCCAGCAGCGGCTGCGCAGAGACTGCTCAGGGCTGCGGGAGCGCGGCTTGGGCCCGCGCTGAGCTGCGCGACAGCGGATCCAGGCTCTCCTCACCTGCACGTTTGCTAACGGAAACTCTCTGTACGAGCGAAGGAAACACCTCGAACGTTTCCTACGACGCACGCAAGGCCGTTGCGTTGTTACGGCACGACTGAGCAGCGGCTAGGGAAGCGGCTGCGATAAAAGAGCAAGACAAAAGCAAGCCGAATCTACAAGGACTGCTCTCCCAGTCTTCAGCATTAGCCAGCAGACAAGGGCGTGCAGAGAACGGCTTTTCACCTGAAGTGAAAAGAGGGACAGTGAGCAGGTCTTGGAATGAGGACCCAGAGGCACTGACAGTGTTTTGTGCTTGTTCAGGTGTAGACTAAAGCTGGAGCTCTGCTTGATCACTGACACACAACAATTGTGCCACGCAGTGCGTTTCCTTGATGGCTACTCGCCACTCCAGCCTCCCTTACTTCCTCTCCTTCAAGCCCTCCCCAGCCACCTGGTCTGATCAGGCAGAAACATGTGGCACAGGGAGAACACAAGGACCACCTAGACTTCTCAGGCCTGTGCTCTGTCCCCGGGCTTTAGTCCAAAACAGGAACAGAGGCATCAAACATGTCTGGATTTATTTATTTTGTTAAAAGGCTTGGCTGTTCAACTGCTGGGAGAACGGCCCGGTACCAATCTCTCCAGTCATACACTGGGCAGACCAGAGCCAGAACACAACCCCCACCAAGGCATTTCTGTCAGCACAAATGGTTTCAGCATTCCTCTAGAGAGAATAAAGGAAAGGTAGACGCAATGTCCAGCCCGTGCCAGGATTCGGACAGAAGTCTAAAACAGGCAAATGCACTGGTGTCTTTTCTTCATCATTACAGAAGGAGTCACCGCACCTTCAGCTGGAATGAGAGTATTCCCTCACACTCCCTTCTGTGTCCAGTTGACCCTGTGCATGCTGCCACACAGCTCTGCTTTCATTGGAGGATGGGAAGAGAAAGCTACCGTAGGGTTAAATCTAGTGACATTTCCTCTGTTATCAGACTTTTTGTCTCTCCCCACTCCTATTGCAAGTCTTGGTCATTGATTTGGTAACACAAAAGCGATCTGTTAAAACTTTTTTTTTTTTTTTTTAAATAAAAACGGTGCAAACACGCCCGCTTTCCCCCAGCAGATAGCCTGTAACATTTTTGTGCATCAGATGTCAACCTGGTTACAGAAAAAGAATCTGAAATTGGCAGGACTAGCCAGCCTGTGAGACAGGCAACTGCTCCCCTGGTTTTCTGAACCAAGTCAATGAAAAGCAAGGGGGCACCTACTGCAGGCTGCCAAGGCTCAGTTTCTCCCTCTGTGGGCTGGCAGGATGTATATAAACCACAGTGTTAAAACAAGTTGTACCGTGGGGCAGTGCTGAAAGTTAAATACCTGCCTCTGTCCTCTACCTTATTGTTTGAGCTGCAGCCTAGACTCATCAGTCCTCATCTGAGCTATCCTCCGATTTTTCATCGGCAGCCACTTTCCAGTTCTTCCTCTTGTTCCTCTTCTCTGGTACTTCACTGTGGCTCTCTGACACAGAATTGTGACGTTTCTTTCTCTTTTTGGGGGGGCGTTTCTCTTTTTTCTCCTCAGATTCACTGTCCTCAGAGCTGCTGGTGGTTGAGCTGCTTGCATGAGAAAAGTCACTTTCCTGCCCAGAAGAAGAGGTAGGTTCCCTGGCAGGCACTTTCCTGGTCTTTTTCTTGCGCTTGTGTTTCCCTTTCCGGGTGCTTGAAGTCTCCTCTTCTGAGCACTCGCTCTCCCGGGAAGAATCTGATGATGTTCGCCCTTGTTCCTTTTTCTTTTTCTTCCGCTTTTTGTGTGATCGCTTTTTTTGCTTCTTCTTCTGTGATTTCTTTGTTTTTTTCCGTTTGTGCGACTCACGGGCAGTTTGCTTTCCCAGATGAGATTTCTTCTTCCCATTGATAGCATTTTGCTCATCTCCTTCTGGCTTGTCACTGTAAAAAGAACAAAGGATGACCAAAAGGAAGCAGACAGGCAGGCACACAGCAGTTGAGCCTTTTCCATCTCAAAGTTTTAAGCAAGCCCATCGATTCATTTGACTAGAACAGGGAAGCAGAAGCCCTGACAGATGTGGTAGCCGCATTTTTGTTCCAAGTTCTTATTAGTAGCTTGGGTCTACACCTTACCGATACCCCTGTTTAACGTATCTAAGTCAGAACCCAGGAGAATGGGTACTGAAAGCCACTGAGTAATAAAAAGTTATAGCAAGTTACTTCAAATCTGTAAGCCTGACAGATATTGTACATGACGATTCTGTTAGGTGTACTTTAAAAATAATTAGTTCTGTCTAAGATCTTATTTTACAGTTAAGCCTCCACGATACTACAAGAATTGATATTCTCCAAAGAAGAAGCAGCAGAAAATAGAGGTACGCTATAATGGAGAGAACCACCTGGAGCTGGTATCTGAGAGTGCGCATACTGAGCTGATTTGGATTCAGCCTACTATTCTGGCTCTGCTGGCCCAGACAGACCTTCCAGATTCACAGCATTTTAATAACTCAAGCTAAAGCTGGCTAATTACCATAAAAGATGCAATTCCCTCCCAAGACTCAGACAAGGGAGAACCACATTAACAGACTAGATTTTTTTCAGTGGGTGTCTGTAACTAAACAGGGCTGCTTCACATTCAAGGCTGAACTGTATTAAAAATTTAAAACTCAGTTTGCAAAATTCCTGCATAACTTGACAGAAGTGAGGTTCTGGACACATTACTAAGTCTGCTTGCCTTACCTGTCTGTATCAAATTCTTCAGGGTACAACTCTTTGTAGCCACTGTGACCCCATCTGTAAGAAAGCAGAACCATCTATTAGAAACAGACAAGGTGTTTAAGGAAAAAATACAATTCTGAAAAGACAGAGCCACGGAATGAACATGAGTTTAGATAGCAAAGAAGAAGGGCTATCAGAACCTTCCCAACAAAGAGGGAAAGAAACATCACTGATTTGGTTGGTACTATTTAAATACATCTTATGTTCTTAGTGTCTTTTCCACTTCTAAATAGGGAAAACCACAACTCAAATTTACTTAAAATAACTCTGGAGAGCACTAGCTTGCCTTTCTCAAAATTTTTCCAGTTCCCTGGGCAAAGTAATAAATACTAAACTTAGCGTCTATGCTCAGGACTGAGCTTTTGCTGCTTAGTGTGACTTAGAAACTCTATAGGTGAACTCAAATTAGGTATTCTGTGACACTGCAAAAGTTCATGCATGTTACTTAGTCATTCTCAAAATGAGATCAAGCATCATTTTACAGGAGTACGTACCGAAAGGAGAAATGTACTAACTTTTTGGTATAGGACTCCAAAAAAAAAAGTTGTTTTAATTACAGTTACAATCACAGAACATTAATTCCCCCACACACCTGTCTGGCATATTTGCTTCACATTCATACAGCTTTTTATTCCAGGATCGGGCCCTAAGGAGATCATCTTCAACTAGGTCAAGGAATTGTGAGTTCCTTGTTTTCCAGTCAGCCCTGTGGCCATCCTCATCAAAGCCATCACTGCGCATCCGACTGCTGCAGAAAGAGAACAGTTGTCCTTCAGCTGTCAGCTCTGATGGAGAAACTTTCTGAGCAAGGGGTTAGTCCAGCGAGAGGAGCAAAAATCCAGCAAGTGTTGGATGTCCATCTATGCAAGAAGACCAGCTATCATTTTAACAGACAGTCACCATTAACAGCTCTCACAAAACCAGTTCAGTAGCTAACACTGATTTTCAAAACTTACTATGACCCTCTGTGCACAGCAAAATTCTTGACAGAGATGCTCACGATGTAAAATTAGAGGAAGGGGTTATCTTGCCTATGACAACAAATGCAGTTCTCTTCCTCTAGAATACTCTGCAGGAGCTGACTAACAACAGGCAGTAAAAGCAGCAAAGCAGAAACAGAATTGACTAAAACTGCAATTTGATCAGGTACCAGGACTAAGGCACCAAATCCCCAGAAAGCACCAACAGTTTTGACTGATCTCACGTGCTTGTAGCTCTAGTTTTGTTTCTGACTTGAAGTATCACACTTTCTGAGCCAAGCAGCAGCCATCAACATCACATAAGTCTGAAAGGTGTTCTCCACTGAGATACTAAAACCACTTCCTGCAACAGTCAGACTTCTGAAAAATCTTCCTGGTGGTAACAGCCCCCACACCCCGGCCCCAACCCCAACCCCAGCCCGTTTTCATGTAGCTCCTGAGATCCTCAGGCATGTCAAAATGATTTAAGATACTACACAAGCAGCAGTCGGTACTGGTGTGTTATAATAGTGCAAGACCCCACACCTTAACAGTTTTGTTTCCTGATAACCCAAATGGCAATACATTAGAGTTTTCTCACGACATTCTAACATATTACTCAAGCACTTCCTACTCTCATTGCTTCAGAGAGCCTGGCCTGACTTCATGTTGTATTTTGAAGACTATACATCTAGATGAAGGGATAAAAGGTCCGACTTAAGCACAGGTCCGACCTCTTTCCAGGGACTCATTAAGGAGAAAACAAATGTATCTGTCGTCTTCATATACTGTAAACACACAGCTATCACAGAATACTCTTTAAGTATTATAACACAAAAGGGTTCAGAAACTGAGTAACTAAGACAATTATCTCCTCCATGCATCTGAAACCCACCTGGAGGTGTCTGACAACATTCTGCTTTGCCTTTTCCAGTAAGTCTCTTCTGTCTGTTTCTCCCACTCCCTTATTTTCCACATTTCTGTCTCTTCCTGAATCTGAAAGTTACAGAAGGCAAACAAATGTAACATTAGGGAAACTTTACAGATATGTAGCATGTAACATCAGCTCCTAGATCAACAGTCCCGGCTAACAAAATTCACAGCAAGCTTTCCTACCATACCGAAACAGACTACTGTTTGTAGCTGTAACCGAAGTAAACAGACAGAGAACCACTTGGTGATAATACCCTAACAAAGCACATAAGGATACCACCATCAGAAATGGTGGGTTTGCCTGATTTTGTTACCTCAGCTGTTCTGGCTTACCCTCCTTTGTCATTCATTACCATCCCAAACATACGTACTGTTAGAGAAGTCAGTATATAAATATCATCTGTAAGGACCAAGGCAAAATGAGAAGTTATGCTACTGCCTGAAAAAACACAGCATGCAAATACTGAGTGGTTTGGCAGATTTATGTTTATGGACACTGTGAGTGATTTTATAAACATGTGAAACAAATGAGTTGGATCTGCTGAATTACGTCAGGATGAAATTAAATAGTTTGCTAAAGTCAGCAGACGTTCTTAACCTTGCACTACAATACTGCCTGTGCACATCAGGAAGAAGTTCAAATTCTTTGATGCAATTAAGAGTACATACACACTACAACGTGAAAAAAAAAAAAAACCAATGGAAGGTTTGCTACTTTTAAAAAGGCAGACCATAATTCTCATGGAAGTCCTGAGAGAATACGTTCTTCATGGAGCAAAGTTTATAGGTAAACATACACGCGTTCCCTCGCCAGGCTGAGACCTCAAGAAAGGCAGGGTAAAACTGAAAGCGAGACTAACGACGTTCACACAGATGATCTCGGCAAGCTCCTCTCCTCTCCGCTCCTCTCCGGAGAACACACCCACCCTCCGCGCCGCCAGATCACTGCTCGGGCCCCGCTCCGCTCCCGGGCCTCGCGTTCGCCGCACAGCAGCGCCCGGGTGAAGCCCGGGGCGTTTCCGCAGGGACCGGCGGACAACAGCCGCCTGCAGAGGCGGGCGCGGAGCGGAGCCAGGCGGAAGAGCCACCACCGAGAGGGAGGACGAGGGGCGGCCGAAGCCGCCAGCCGCCACCGGCCCCGGCCATACCTTGTTGTGCGCGCCCGTGTGCCGGATAACGTTCCGCAGCAGCACCTTCCCCACCGGCACCCGGGACATCCTCTCGCCCTACGCGGCCCCGCGGACGCCGGCCCCGGGGGGCCCGGTGGGGCGGGGGCCGCTCACCGGGGCGCTGCCGCGGACAGGAAGGGACGGGAGAGGCCGGGCCCGCTCTCGGCTCCCGACCGGAAGCGGCCGCGCGAAGTGCCCCCTCCTGTCACCTTCTGCCGGGGCGCCGAGCCGCGGCGACCAGGGGGCGGAACGGCCCGGCGGCGGCTTCGAGGACAGGCGGGCAGCTGCCCGCCCCGCCGCGGGGCCGGCGGCGAGTTGCGATCGCGGGGCCGGAACTCGCGGCAGCGGGAGGGAGGACGGGGAAGGCGGGCGGACCCGCAGAGCGCGGCCCTTCCGGTCGCTGTTGCTACGCGACGGCGGTGCCGATGGCGGGCGCGGCGCTGGCGCGGGCCGCGCAGCTCTGGTCGCTGCTGGACGAGATGGCGGAGAGCGACCCCCAGGCCTACCGCCGGCTCCTGCGGCGGCAGCGCGCCGAGGCCGAGCGGCTCTGCGCCCCGCCGGAGCCTCACCTGTGCCTGCGTGCCCGCCCCGCGGTGGGTGCGCGGGCTCCCGACCGGGTGCTGAGCGCGGCTGCGGGGCCGGCGCGGGCGGGAGGCTCAGCCGCGGCTCGGTCTCTTGCAGGGCGTCGGCGGGGGGCCGCTGTTTATCAACGTCTGCAGCTGGAAAAGGGTCCCGGCGCCCGAGGGCCCCACTGGCCCCACGCCTGTCAGCGCGGGGCCGCTGCAAGAAGTAGCGGGCGAAGGAGGTACGTCCCGAAAGCGTCGCGCCTCGCCCCGGATGCATTTCTTCCTGCAGTAGTGCATTGCGTGGCAGTCCGCACACGCGTTCTCTGGCGGTGACAGAGGGTGGTGCTGTGCCGCGGCCGGCTCTTGGCTCGGGGAGGGGAGGGCGGCAAGGCGAGGGTGCGGCAGGCCTATCTCAAGAGGGACTCTAGATTAGGCCCTCCTTATTGGAAAAAAAAAAACGGGAGAAACACACAAATTGCGCGCCTATAAATCCTGAGAAGTACTTAAGCGCTAGGACACTTCGACCGCATATACTCATGTTGACTGGGTTTGTGCTGCCGTGCTTAGCCTTGAACACAGACTTCAACAGAGACCAACACATGGAGAGGGGTCATCTCCAGACTTGATAGAATTAGCTCTCTGCCCAGAAGCCACAAGTTAATTTCCTTTGCTTTTAAATCAAGTGATTATAAAGAACACCAGCGCACGGTACCATAGCAATAATTCTGACACACAACTTGTTTGTGTAGACCTTTACAGCATTATAGATATTGCATATAACCCAGATGTGCTTCAGAGAGGAGAAGAAAACCCAGAAAAAATGGAGCACTTGATCCACTTAACGCTTAAATTCGTTGAGGAACGATGCAACCTTACTCTTTCATACTTGTACACCATTGAATCATTCCAATTGAAAGGAAGCCTGGAAATGATGCAACAGCGTCTGAAAGGAAGACAGATGCCAGCTCCACATCTCAGTCAGAACACAAAGAAGGGTATGTAGAGGTCTGCTGTCACTTTTCTTTGAGGACCTATCAGATTCTCCAACAAATTTACTCTCTAAGCCCTAACCTTGCCATAAGCATAAACCAATACTTCTCCAAGTATTCAGAATAAGGCAGTAGTATTCATACCAGACATTAGTTTCACCCTGCTGGCCTACCTGCATTCATCTCTGGTGTTTTACAATCGAGAAACTGTAGTGACACTGGAACAACAAATGCCCCTTTTGCTATATCCGCTAGACATGGGAACTCCCCTAGGGTTTGATCCTTTGAGATGCTAAGTTTTTTTTGCCCTAACCTGAGTAAAGATGGTTGCTGCTGTAACTAGTAGTCTGAAAATAACACCTTTTAACTCATTGGCAATAAAACCAAATCATGGGTGAAGGAGAAACTGCCAGTAACAGTCTTCAGCTGACAAAAGCACTGATTACAATTAATTACAGTTAAAACTTTCACAATATATTTGTCAAGTGGCGTAACATTACAGTTCTTAGTAACTGAGTGACAGGTGTGAAAAACTTTTTTTCTTGGAAGAACTGACACTTGATCAGCTGGTGCACACTCTGGAAGCTGAGGACTGCAGCAACGTCCCTGTGCTGCTGAAGGAAGAAAGTGTGACACAATCTAAAGTGCGTCTGATAGAGGAAATTACCAGTACTGAAATGCCGGATAAGCTAAGTAGCCCTGTCTATGAAATGATCACTGTGAAGGATGCAAACAAGAAACCACTCAAAATTGAACTCAGAATTGAATTGCCTAAGGTTAGCTCTGTTTCTGAGTGTGATTTGAGAATTTCAAAGGTAAGAATAGTAAAACAAATAGCCTTGTGTTTTCTGTCTAGTATCCAATTTCTAGAAATGCTCACTGCCAACTTGTCAATTTTCTTGTTTTAGGATGACATAATCATTGAAGTCCCTGAAAAATACAAATTACAACTAGATCTGCCAGAATTGGTGGATGAAGAAACAGCTACAGCAGTATTTAACAAAGGAAAACGGGTATTGTTCATCACACTGCCAGTTGCCAAACCAGATCCTTAAGGATCACAGATACCAGAACAAAACAAAAGCCCAGAATGAGAATCTTAACTTTTAGATGGTGACGAGTTGCTTTAGTGACCTTCTAATCTTTAGCAGTGAATACCTCTGATGGCTTTAGAAGATGCATGTAGAAAAGGAAATCTGGAGGAATACTAGGACCATCAAGCTTAGGGAAAAAAATAAGTAAAAGACTGTAAATATTCAAGGAGTACCTGAGTATGTTAACAGCTGTAGTAAAGAACCATAAATGCATACATGCTTTACTACATCATTTACGTTGCCTTAAGGCACAGCAATAACAGTTGTGAAGTCTTTTTGCTAAATAAATTGATTACTGGATTCACGTGGTTAGAGCAGCTCTCACATGTATTTAATGCTGGAACAACCAGCAGAGGTGTCGTACACATTTCTACAAGTGGCCCTGCATGCTGGTGCCTTTCTATTGAGGACAATCCCTGCTGATCTTAACTGGAATTTCAGTCACTGAATGTGCTTCACCTCACTTCTTACCTGTTTGGTGATCTCTGAGTGAGACCATAAATCAACAGACCTATTCCATACTATTCAAAACAGCAGATAGAGATGCTAAAACTCAGGAATGCTTAGTGCAAAGCTAGCAACCAAAACTGATCTTGGAGCACTTCAACTAGAAAAACTATCTGCATTAGTTTACAGAAATACACAAAATACAAAGTAATACAAAACAACTTCATGGATTACAAAGCATTACTAGAATTGATTGTGAAAGGGACAAAAGTTTAAGCGATCTTCATGATTGGTTTGGTAGTACGTCATTCTTACGGCTGCTGTGACACATTTGCACTACAACCATGTTTCTAAACCAATATTCATCAGAAATGGAAACGGACAACTTGGTTTTGAGCTGCAACTTTAAAATAGAGGCTTACAAAAGAACAGTAACTCCTAGCTTTCCCCCTTCCTTCTTTCAAAGAAACGTGGAAGGCTGCGTTGAAATACAGTTCAGTCGTTACAGTTGCAAGTTCAAGCTGAAATTCTATTACTGCATGGACTGAGCTTGCCTGTTGCAGGACGCAAGCAGTACCAGAAATCACTATCCACACTCCAAGCACACACACTGGATAGCATTTTTTTAGTTGCAAGTGTTCCAGAGTCTGACAGTCATTCAGAGAGCGATTCCATAAAATAAACTATTTAGTGTTCTTACTGCAGGAAGATAGTGAAGGGTCTCTGTAGCCAGAATTTCGAGGGTCTGGTGAAAACTGCACCAAAGAAGCCCGGAAGGTTAAAGTTTACTGCTGCGTGATAGGAATAAAGCATGTATTATTCTGGAACGTTTGTGATTACAATTTAAGGTTACTAGGGTGAGTTTCACTATCAGTCTGAAAGGCTAAACGGCTCTGTGCTATAGCAGTACAGTAAGCCACACACAACGGAATAGAAAAGCACTGGAACATGTTTTAGTAGTTGTCAATTCCAAACATTTAATAGAACATCGGTTCACTAGAGCAAGTCTGGAACCAAGATATTTTAGATCATTAACGAAAAAACAAAACCTTAACGCACTTTTTTGCTTAAGCCAGGCATGAAAACCACATATCACAGCAACCAGACGTTAAATAGTTCCCACAAAAATATTTAATTTCCACAGTATTTTCTTTCAACATCTTTAGTGAATTTTGTAGAACTTTACAGGAAACAGTACTTAATGCAATATACAGAATAAGAGATCAGCTTTAATTTTTCCTTTCTTTTTTTTTAAACTTCTCCGCCCCAATTTAATTCTCCTGGTCACTTTGTAATAACTACACAGTCGTCCTTTTTTACATTAACATTTCCATGTGGAAAGTGGAATTTAAGAATGTTCAGCACTGCACCCCTTTCAGGATACAATGACTGTGTAACTGGACACAAGTCCAACAAACTACTGAAGCATTTTACATACAATATATACATGGGTAGCACATTCTGCAGCTTACTGAGGCTGGGACAACATAGACAATTCAGGGAAGAACTGCAGCACCAGTGACTAACTCAGAGCTTCCTATGTTAGAATGCTTGAAAAAAAAAAATTCCAAACATTCAAGTCATCCCATGATTAATATCCACTGATGGGATTATTACCATGTGTGATTTGCCTATATTGGGTTCCAACACACAGATTCTCTTGAACATTCTGCAAAACAGTTACTTCCATGTCATCATAGTCTGATATTAACTTAGCAAGAGGAATAGCAATTAAGGAGTTTTCATACAAAAAGCACATGTAAGTGAAAGTCCATGAGAAGACAGCACATTCCCTGTGGTATCTGAGAGCTGTGACCCCACAGATAGCAGTGCTCTTTCACCTTACTTTAAAGTGCTCAAATGGGATCACACAGCTGAGAAGGTCCCGACCAGTGCCGAATTCCAGGAGAGATTTGGAATGCTAGCACTTGGCCTTTGAGAAACTATTCCCAGGCGCTTCAGTCCCTTAGTGCATCTGTCATACCCACCTACCCCAGCAGGAGAACAGGATAATAAGGGAATTCACCTTCTACTAACTTGCATGTTTCAGTTACCATCTCATCTGACCTCCTGTGAAGAGGTGCTTATAATTCAAATTCCTAAGAACATGGAGGTCATTAAATTGCTTGGTATGTACCCCCCTGTTCACCCTAGTTTAGAAGCAGATGGCAGTGTGCATACTGCCTGGATCATTTTTAAATCTGGGATGCTTAACTCTGTTTTGGAAGAGTTTGCAAGTTAACTAACTGTATAAAAATACAGTATAGCTATAATATTGTTCTGAAAAGCACTTTTGCAAACTTTTTCTGTACACACTGGTAATAACATTACCAGATAATATAATACATATTTAAAATAAAAAAGGAACTCTTTTAATAAGTCTGAACACTAAGGTCTAAATAGCTTGTTTAAAACAAAACAGCGTGACCCTGGAAGATTTTGCTTGCATGATTAAATTATAGCAGCATGGTTACTGGCTTTTCAAGGAAATTCTTGAATTCAGCAAGCCACTGTGCTCCAACTGCTCCGTCTACAACACGATGGTCACAGCTAAGTGTAACAGACATCACACTAGCCACATCAAATCTGAAAAAAAAAAAAAAAAAAAAAAAAAGGTTAACAATCCTCTGCAAGTCAGTGTCACTACCAAAGGAAAAAAACTTTTATCAGAGAATGAGCAATAGTTGGTGCTGGGTAACAGATGTTCTTCCCTGTGGACTTCTAAAATATTACACTAGCGAGCAGATCATGTTAATTCCTTTTCTACAATTAAGAAACACATTTGTATGTTGCCTTTAGGACAGTAAGCTCATCTTTCTTTGTATCACAAGAACAGCCCCACACAATCAAAGAAAAAGAGCCATTTTACCCAGTAGCCTTCATTTTCCCCATGTATCAGTGATAGATACCTAGGACTGTTAACAGGCAAGTTTAAATCATCCTAAACATTATCCTGGGTCTATGCTAGTTCAAGCTCCAAACAAGGCAATATTACATACAGGACACTTGAATTATAATCCATCCCTTAGGTTTTCCTTAAATGCAAATTTAAGCAAGTTATTAAAGAGCAACACGTGCCTAAACTGTTGAGGATTCCAGACCTTTTTCCACAGCTTGACCCTACCTCTCAAAGAAAGAAACAGCTTTTCATTCACTTTCAAAGAAGATTCAAGAATAAACGTATGGCAGATCATTCCTCAGTCACCATATTTCTCTAACACCTGTGTGACCCTTTTATACAAGATCACACTGTATTACTTCAGAAGGTACTGAAAACAGTACGTCAACAATTTTGTTTCTAATAATTATCTAATGGAGGTGTTAGAAAACTAGCCATTATTTCAAAGTTTGAATTTGGAAGCTCAGTATATGCAGAATCAGATGAATACTTACCCTTTCTCATTATCAGCTGGCACTAGCCTCTTCTCTGAGGAACCAACTGCAAGGATGCAGGCTTGAGGTGGATTGATTATGGCAGAGAAATTCTTAATCCCATACATTCCTAAATTGGAAATTGTGAAAGTACCACCCTACAAGAAAAATACATTCACAGTCAAATTCACAAAAGCTGTTTCATATGGAATAGTAATGAATATGGCTGAAACTTCACAAAGTAGGCTTTGCTCATTCTGGACAGAAGTCAAGGGCAGCAGTGTTTTGAGTCTCTCACCTGGAATTCATGAGGCTGAAGTTTACCTTCTCGGGCTTTAGTTGCCAAAGAAACCACGTCCTTACTAATGGAAGCCAGGCCCTTTATATGTGCATTAAACACAATAGGGGTTATAAGCCCTGCAGGAGTACTAACTGCAACACTAACATCCACTACGTGATTTCTGCAAGACACAAAGGAGATGCCAGTTACTCTAGCAAGACAACAAAGAAAAAAATTTTCAACACTGTTCAGACAACTCTAAATTGGTATTAATTTTGCAACAATTATTTCACCTTGCACACTAACCTTAGATGCCAAGTTCTTAGTACTTTAACAAAAGCCCCTCAACCTTTCTTTGCATTATACCTGTTTCCCTCCCTCCTCAAAATCCCAGCAGGTCTGCTATTTAGCCATGAACTCTCTACTGAACAAAGAAAGTTTCTGGCTTCGACCGTACCATAAACTTACTGCCTAATAACTGTGTCCATCCATGAAGAATTTGCCTCAGGCACCTTCAAGCACGCCAGAGCAGAAGCTTTAATTATGAAGTCATTGACAGAAAGCTTAATGTTATCGGAGACCTCCTGTAAATGAAGAGATTTGATGTGTCAGTTTGTCTCTTACACATTACCTCTATTAACTTGGATAGTCACTGCCATGCAGCCTGGTTTAGAGAAAACAATCACACTACTTGTAAGCGTTAATATCTGAAGTGCCAAGATAATTCGGAAGGTGAACACACCTTCATAATTCAAGAAGGTCCAATCTTTTTTACTGTCTGCTTTCCCCCACACTTGGCTTCGAATTATTATTTTGCTTAAATTTTCTACCCTTTTTACCCTTTTGCCCTGCTTTCCAGCTGGAGAATTGAACAACACCAAGCAGAGTATAAAGCAGCCCTCTTAGGGAAATCAGAAGCCAGTGCATGGGTAAAAAGTCTCATTCTGTCACAGACAGTCCAGAACCAAGCCACAACGGGTAAAGGGCACTGAAAAGACTGTATTTTCCAGGCCGAAATGGCACTGTCAACAAAAAGCAGGGTGGGCAAACCTGTGAAAGAATGCAGCTTTCCCCACACACACACTCTCACCATTTTACCTGATTGAGTTCTTTCCGTAGCACCAGTACTTCTCCCATGTTTATATCAACAGAAAGGTAGTAGTGAGGTATTGTTTGTTTAGACTGCATCAACCTCTGAGCAATGACCTGCAGGTATACAATAGCAATGGTGGAAATAAGTCAATTTGGAACATTCATGACTGCAAATAACGATCTCAGAAAGGAATAAAATCTTACCTTCCGAATGTTGCTGATAGGGATATCTGTGAAGGTCCCCACTGGTGCTGCTGCAACTGCGGCAGTTGCAGGAACTGCCTCTAGTGCTGGAGCCTGCAATCAGAGAGAGAGTGTAATTCATAGTACTATACAAATATCAATTGTACAGAATAATTTGGTACGTGGGACAAATGCTGAGGCTAAGTTGCCTCTTGCTTAAGAGCAGCAGATATTTGTGCTCTCTAGCCTCGCCTCTCCAGCACCCACTAGGTTCTTTAGAAGTCTTATAACCGATTATTAAATGTAGTACTTGAGTGATTTAGAAATGCAGTCACTGCTATGAAGCTCCCAGAGTAGCAAGTCTTGATAGATGGTTCTTTTACATACAGCAAAGATATATGCTAGAGGGCACTCTCAGTCTGCACTCAGCCACATCCCTACCAGCAGCACACAAAGCAACACTTCTGTTATCTCATATAAAAGACAAGCAACGGTACAAGAACAGACTGGTGGCAACAATGACAGCAGGCTGTTTGTTCAGAAGTCTGGTTTTCATTCTCATTGCCTCTTTACAGCAACATTAGATCAATTGGGACTGAGCTTAACTCAATCCATAACAATGTAGCAACCAAATGAAGGGTTGGGAGCACACAATTTTTTTTCTCAGAAAAATAAAGGAAGAAAACTTCATCTGTGTTTCTGACAGGTTAAGCTTTACAACCTAACAGTCACCATAGCCCACACAGAGTCCTAACCCAACCAATCCAGCAATAACAGTTCCATATAGTAATTGCATTTCCACAGAGCATTTCCATCACTGCAACAAAAGATCCATTCTTACAGATCTCAAGCCTACTCACTGAAGCCTTTGGTGGCACAAATGACTCCACATCTTTCTTTGTGATTCTACCATCTGGTCCAGTACCTAAAAGGGTCAAAGAAAAACATAAGAGGATTTAAATTATTTTCAACAGGGCATTGCTTCTAAAGGTACCAGTTTTATTTAACAGAGAGAAGTCTCTTAACACGACCTGTGGTGAGGAGAGCTGTGTAGTCAGGAAGTTTCTGACAGGGAGGAAAGAAAAGAATAGGCAAGTATGTACCTAGAGGGACAGACACTTGATAGTGAGAGCAAGGAAGAAGAAGGGCAACCTACCTTTCACTTGGGCAAGGTCAATTCCTTTTTCTGCTGCCATTTTCTTTGCCAGGGGACTAACCAGGATCCTTCCTTTCCGGGGAGGTGGCCCAGCTGTGGGGACTGCTGCACTGGAAGGAACAGCAGGCTGGGGAGGGGGAGGAGCAGCAGCCGGAGTTGCCACCACCTTAACAGAATCAAAGCCATTAGCTTCAGGATCATTCAGCAAAAGTTTTGAAGGTACAGACCATGTGATTACCAGTCAAGAGAACAGCAAAAATAGTCAGTAATCTGAAAGAATTTTCAGATTCAGAGAAGTTTCCTGGTGCCAGAAATTAAATCAGAAACTTTCTGGGAAGGAGGCCAACTACGCTGAAATAAATAAAGGTGAAATAAATAACTCATGCTCCCAGTTTTCAAGGATGAGGCATTAGAACTGGCACAAACAACAGGCTGCAGAAGAGATCATAATGAATGACTATCTGCTCCAGTTTTTAGAGGGCAAACTAGCAGTCACCTATCACCAACATGTTAGCCTTGCATTCTCAGAATCATAAATGTTATTGTTGGAGCCAGGGCTTCACACTGTCAAACCAGCAGAACAGTTCAGATCAGACCTTTTAATGGTCCCCGTAACTTCTCTCACTGCTAAGAACGGTCCTTACTAGTGGAGGAGGAGGAGGAGCTTGTGCCTTCATGTCAGTTACCGCAGTGTCTTGGTAGTCAGCAAAAGCTGGAATATCACACTCTTTCTCCACAATGATGCAGAGAGCTGTTCCTAAAGGCACATCCCTTGTTCCTTCAGGCACTAAGATTTTTGCCAAATAGCCTTCCTCCTGTACTTCAAAGCCTGTAAGGGAAAGAAATAAAACTGGTTTGGTGCCTGATGCAGCTGAAGACTTCCTCTAAAAGCTGCTTCTAAAGACTCTGGTAGCTAAAGCCCTGTCCTATATTCAGTAGGCAAGAGAATCTTTTCAGTGCAACTAGCAGGGAAACACCTCCATGAGCTGTACATTACTAAGAGGTATTTAATGAAAAAACAGAAGTGTTTTTAGGAGCTCCAATGTTTAGCTCTCCAGTGGAATGAGAAGTTAACAAAACTTGTTTTAGTTGCCCCCTGCAGCTAGGAGAACAGCTGGCAGAGCAGCTACTCTGGATCCTCCCCTTTTAAGGGCACCTCACCCATTTGTGACACTGGAGTTGACTCACCTATTGTGGCTTTATCTGTCTCAATTTCTGCCAGTAAGTCTCCCTCATTCAGTTTCTCCCCAACCTTCTTCTCCCATCTCTGCACTGTGCCCATTGTCATGGTAGGTGACAGGGCAGGGAGAGTGACCTGTGAAGCCAGGCAATACAAGAGAATCAGATTCTGGTAATCCACAATGAACAGGAACACAGTTTTAACTCCTCACTAAATTATGCCAACCTAAAGAAGTAGCCAGCCTTTAATGCACTTCTACATCTGGCTCCATTACAGTAAAGTGCAATGCTGTCCCATGTTGCTAGTTTGGCTTCTTTTATCAAGGCCAAAGCAGGAAAACAAGCAAAAGCACAGAGCAGGAAATCTATATATCAAAATAATTATTACCACTGTCACATTGGGAGTATCTTGCAGCTGCTCTCTGCAAGGCTAAAAGGAAGACTGAAGCAAGGCACTTTGTGACAAACAGATTTGGCCCCTTGAAAAGCTATACAGGCTTGTCTTCCAACAAGCACTCAGAGATGCCAGACATGCATACTGCTGTGCAACAAATGCTGCACGTGTGAGTACAGCTTCAGAGCAAAACTGGACCGGTAAGGCAAGCAGTGGGAAGTAAGCAAGTTAGTAGCCAAAACACAAGTCAGATTAAGAAGCCTTTCATTAATTCTTTGTTCAATTACTGACTTTCCATAACATCTCAGACAAATCAGTTTCCATATATATCACCTGTAGAACGAGGTTTAGTACTGCAAATTTCCTATTTCAAAGGAATGCCACAGAAATACCTCCCCCTACAAAGTGCTCAAATACAACAATGGATGTACGCTTCAATACCTAAGCGAGGTAAAAAGGTTATCCACAAATACAATTCATTATTAGCCACCCACAAACACATCTGGAGTGTTCTTCAGCGTATCAGAGACTTGAGTTCTGCTCCAAGATGTAAGCAGGGCCTTTAGAGCTTATGCACACTTAGCACAAGGTCTTTTTATACTAGAAGTGTCCAAATAATGCAAATGTAGTAGGTTTTTCTAGACTGCATAACAATCCTGGAGAGACAAGTCTCTCATCTACGAGCAGCTAGGATGCTCAAATAATTTCCTGAAAATAAGCTTTCTGGGACATCTCCAAGCACCTGCTTTACATATGCAACAATTCAAGTGGCACACGCTCCTGCAATTATAGCTAGTAACTGGAGCTAGTAATGCCAAAGACAGAAAAAAATGTGCAACAAGCCTTAAATCATTAGCAATGCTCTCTTACCTGCATATGAGGAGGATAAGAGCTTCCAGGAGCCTGAGAAGGCTGAGCTGGTGGTGAGGGAGCTGCAGCTTGAGGGGGAGGCACTGAGGCTGCAAGAGGGGCAGACACTACACAATCCAGAGTATAATTTTTAAAGGCATCAACATATTCAGGCCTAGAATAAAACACAGAACCGCAAAACCAATCAGATGACCCTAAGTCTTCCACACACGACACCCAAGAAGCCCCAACAGAGAGATTTCAACTCCAGGTTTAACAATATACATACTTTTCTACTGTAATACATATTATGGCCCCAATAGGAACATCTCTTGTTCCTTCTGGCACCAGGATCTTGGCCAAGTAGCATTCCTCCAGGCTCTCAAAGCCAACTGTTGCTTTGTCTGTTTCCACCTTTGAGAGAGAACAAGGTATCGTTATGGCAGTGGAAAAGACCGATAAGCTCAGAGCCTTCCAGTCTGACAGTGGAGAGTCACAACACACAAACTTCTGGAAAATTTACCCTGCGGCACCAGCTGTAGGAAAGTATGCTCTCAAACAGGTTACATGATGTTCCTGCTCAGAAAGAAGAAAAGCAGCAACCAACTTTGAAAGGCCGTTAGCCACTTGGTCCCAACAGCATCTGTTGGGATCTGTGATCTTGAACCCAAGATATGTGTTCAAGTGAAAGCAATCAGGGACAAAACCCGGGATGCACACGCAGCTCATTAGAAATGCAGCACAGCCTGTGCCCTTAGGATACCTCCGCTATAAGCTCCCCTTCACCGATCTTGTCACCCTCCTTCTTCTCCCAGCGCGCAATGGTGCCCATCTGCATCGTGGGGGACAGAGCTGGCAAGGCTACCTGTGAGGAATAGGGCAGTGTTACAATCCAGGCAGCCCTGACAGTAGGAACCCCACACACAGGGCAGAGATGGATCCTCAGCACAGGATGGGACAGAGGGGACACAAAGGAGAGCCCGTCTGCAAATCCTCAGCAGGTCAGGACTGCCTCCAACCTGCTGGTAAGACCCCAGGGCAAATCAATACCGGGCAGCTGAGATAGGGCTGACCAAGAAAGGGAGAAGCTATGCCAGGGGACAAGACGGGTAGAGGGAAAAGGCACCAGTGGTGAAGGAGATGGTACCCAGTGGCAGTACACGGACTTGGGGCAGGGTGGCAGCAAGGGCACGAGAACTGCAAGAGCGGGGAGAGAACTGCACTTCCCCAGGGCAAACTGAGCTGCCCAGCGAGGGGAAGCAAGACCTGAAGAGAGAAAGCGAAGGGGCAGCCCCCGAGACGGGGTGGGGGGTGAAGCGCGACACGACACACGAGTCTGTCCCCCGGGGACCCCAGCGGCTGTAGGGGCACGAACACCTGGGGGTACGGGGAGCACCCAGGCTGCCTTGGTCCGGGGGGGAGGAGGGAGCCTCTCACCTTCTGGTGTGCCGGGAGACTGCAGCAGCGGCGGGGGACGAGCCGGGGCCAGGCCGAAGGCAGCAGAAGCCCTCCAGGCCGGTGCGCGGGGCCACCGCCCAACGGCACGGCCCCGACCCCCACCACCGCGCCGCGGCCAGCCCCTGCGGCCCCGAGCGCTCGGCAGCTCGGCGCCAGAGCAGGGGCTCCCGCGGCGCCCCGGGCCACGCGTCGCACCAACACCCGCCACATGCCGGACCCGGAGCCGGAGCCAGAGCCACGGCCCCGCCGCCGCTGCCGCCCGGTGACCTCCTCCGTCCGGGCACGGCGCCGCGCGACACGACCGCGCTGCCGTAAAGCGCGGCGGGGCGGGATCGCCTCGTAATGGCGTCTCGGGGGCTGCGGGGCTGCACTGCGCAGCGGCGGGGCGAGCGGCGGGCGGTGCCTGGGGGGGCTGCGGGCGCCGGGCCCGGGCGTAGGAGGGTGGCGGGGGGCTGTCCTCAAGGCCCCCGCGGGGGGGGGCGGGGGGCGTCGAGCTGCCGGAGGCTCCTCGGGGGGGACGCGCGCGTCCCGGCGCCTCCGCAGCGTCGCGGCAGCAGGACGGGACGGAGGAGCCCGGCTGGCAGAGGGTGCAGCCTCGCGGGGCGCGTCGGGCACGGCGGCTTGCCCAGCAGGGAGGAGAGCGGGCTGCAGCCAGACCCGCCCGTTGTATCTTTGTGTGATACCCACCCGACGTTGCAACGGGCCCTCCTGGCTTCCTCGTGTCCCTGGCACGTGGCCTGGATTTTAACAAGATCCTGGTTCTGTCTGGAAACGCAGGAATCCAGAAGCCGTTCTGTGCCGGGACGCAGCGGCACAGGTTCCCCCAACAGAAGACTTCCCCCACGCCTTGAAAGCCACGGTGTTCTGCAAGGGGGCGGAAAGCACAAGGGCAAAGTGCTGAGCTGGCTAGCACCACAGGCAGCAACGTCCCACCGCGTGCACGGGTGCTGTCCTAGCCACGCTAAATGATTTCGATGTAATACTTGCCTTGACTGAGCTCAGCCAGGTGCAGCAGTTTACACAGGCAGCAAAATTTGCTATTTCCAAGGCAGCTGAGCAGAGCTCATGTTCCACTGGTGTGTTGTTCACATCAGTTTTAAAAATAGATTTTACTAACGCTCCCAGCCTCCTCTTCAGGGCCTATGATTCTAAGTTTGCTAATTTCACATGTACTCCAAGTGATTTATGCACTGTATCCCTATCTGTGCCTCCTTACTCCAAAGCCATCTTCCCCTTCACAAGTACTGAACTTGTGCAAGACTGTTTGCAAACCCCATTTTATTGAGACAACTTCTCAGTCCACTAATTCAAGGCGTATACAGTCATGTAGGTCTGGTTAAGATGTATAGATAAAGTTACACTTTCCTAGATGCAAACATCAGAGTTTCTATGAAAATATAATTTTAAACAGAGCATTTATGTTACACAAACAAGCTACAGGTATAGGAATAGGAAAGTAACTTTGGAGAAAGTTGGACAGAAATAAACAGATCCAGAACAGTGAAAAATGCAAGTCCTGGGCATGGTACTAAGAACATATCCCCAGAATACATCCACTGAAGTCAGGGTTATAGCAGTGCCAAACTGATTTAAAAGCAACATCTTTTGCTTTTATCAGGGAAACATCCGGCCAATGGCTTTTCCACCTGATATCTCTTACCCCCATGCTTAATATTCCTTACCCTTCCAGACCCCTTTCTGCCAGTCACACAAAGGTAAAAAGTCTGAAGAAGGCTGCAGTGTCAATCCAGAAATAAAGCGGAACCCAAACTCTGCATGTTTGCAGTTCACAGCTTATCAAAGCAGCAGCCCTTCAGCTTTAGTGACAGCAACTCCAGCAATTCTACCTTCGCTATCACAGAGGGGAGCTGCATCTAGGAACCCAAGAACAGAGCATTGCTATCAGTGCTGAGGGGATGTCTTCTTTTGTCCTAGCTTACATGGGATGTTAGCATGGAGGAAAGGTACATGACTACCAGCCCCCAAAAGCAAGAGTTTTGTCCAGTCTCGCTCCTTCTGAAATACAGCCCACGGTTGCCCTGGAGAGCATGTGTTTCCATATCAGGTTCAGTCCTTGGCTCTCTGGTGGCAGTTAGCATATGAAATGCGATGATGGTTACTTATCTGAACTGATCTAAGAACAAGAATAGGCGGTCCCCTGGATCAGCTAACAACTATTTTCTTCATGGGAAAACTAGATAGCTATGGGCAAGGCTGGATTGAAGACTTATCCTTTAGAAGCTCTGATCATATTAACAGCCTCGTGTTTTCAGTGCTCCAAAACCAAAACTGCTCATCTTTGAGTACCAGGGAGGGATATAGAACTGGCAGCTACAGACCTTGAAAATGGTCTTAATTTTCTCCATAAAATTCTAGCCTGGGTGTGTGGCTCTTGCTGAAATAAAATTGACGAGTAAAACCTGAAGAAAGAAACACTTGAGAAAAATTTGCAATTCAAATACAATTGATTTCAGTATAACAACCCCATGCTCTCTTTACCAGCCTGCTAGAGATCATGCAACAGAGAAACTATTTTCAGGGATGAAGAATATCTGTTTCTTCTCCAAAAGAAATGTATTCCCCACCCTGCAGCTCACTGATGAACTTGTTCACTGATGAACTTTGCTACTGCTATCTGTGAGGTGAAAGTCACTATAACAAATTGTCCAGAACAGAAGGCATGCTGTGTTGTGCCAGTGTGGCACAGAGACACATAAAAGCCTTGAGCTACTTCCTGGACAGTGAAGCAGTGAGAAAATAAATAGTATTGTTGCTGCCTATTAAAGCTGGCAAAAATATAAAACCCAGTAGGAATTAGTTGGATTTCCATAGTAAAATAAAGTTATGAGCCCAGTGTTGTGTTAACAGGAGACGATACAAAACATCTTCAGCATCCACTAGAAAATGAGTAAAACACAGTATAATGCGTGCAGAAATATACAGAAAGCACTTGTACTAGTATAAAAATATCCACAGTCCTCAGACAAATGTAAACTGGTACAAAATAATTCCAAGAACAGGAACATGTTTACAAAAGGACATGTCAATATAAAACAGTAAAACCAGGTTCACCTTCCCAGCCTCATGCACAGCACAGACACACAGGTAGTCCATGGAAGGGCCACAGGTACTGAGAACGAACAGAGCCTTGACTTGCCATTTGACCTTCTAAGTCAACAGTGTCTGCTGCATACTGCAGCCAGCACTCTTAAGTACAGCTCACTGGCAGCAGAAGGGCAGAGACAGGCAATGCAGAAACAAATCAACCCCCCAAAACCAAAAAGAAAAAGCCACCGTTAGGGCTTGTTCTTTCCCAAGCAGTCATTTATTTCCTGATCCTTCAGGCATCCCAGGAACGGGCATACCAGGGAACTGGTGGTGTAACTGATGGGGTTTATCCTACTGGTGTGGATAAGTGTTTGGTGGCCCTGGCAATTGAGTGGACTGCAGCACAGTGATGCCTGTGCACAGGAGGTGAGAAACCATCTGCCTTGCTGAAAGAGGAGAGGACAGGAGGTCAGGTAAAGTAGCTGATTCTAGCTCCCTCGCAAATGAAATCCTTCAGCAAATAAGCAAGCACCAAGATCCCCACAGTCCCTATGGCAACAAAGCAAACCCAGAGGGCCTCAGAAGTGAGTACAGCTTTAGAAAGCAACTGGGAAAAGCAGCGCTCAGAAATGAAAGCCTGAGCTTGGGAGAAAGGAAGCTTTGCCAAGCTGGTGATCTTTGCTTTAGACAACGTGTAAAACCTCTAGAAGACTGTCTTCCTCCCCCCCGTTGGATTTCTATATTGTCAGTCTGGAATGTCCAGAAAGTTCACTCTGCTCCTGCAGCACATGCAAGTCCAGGACCAACGCTGCTCAAACTTTCAGCTCACATAACCTAGTGGCTTCTTTTGACTCATGAAGGCAAAGCTTCACATTTTTGCTATCAGTGCAGATTGATGTAATACCATGTACAAGAAATCAGACTTGAAATGCCCAGTTCACAGTCTTCAGCACATATTGCAGGAATGGAGAAGCAGGGGAAGGGAGCAATGCATCATTAAGGCCTTCAGGGTTTAGTTCACAGGACAAAGCAAGGTGTTTCTTTCCCACAGACCTGTCATTTCAGTCTCAGAACACTGTCTTCATTTGGGCATGGAAAGTCAGATGCCAGGCATCCATGCACACAACATGCATTACCCGTTGTTTGCAGAGAAGCCCTCTTTTTTGGCAGTTTGGATTGGACTCCTTCCAGCACACAGGCTTTTTGGTCATTCTTTGAGCTCAGCAGCCAGTTACAGGTTTCCATAGTGACAAGACTTAAAAGCTTGATTAATTCTCTCCATGGTCTTCTTCCACCCAGGCCACAATTTTTCCCTCCCAGCCAGGAATGATGTCATCATCATGGAATACCTAAAACAAAACAAAAAGAAGTACAGTCATGTCTGGAGTCTGGGCACCACTCTTCTATAGCATAAGTACCATAAGAGGTAGGCATTAAGTCAGAGATCCTAAGTCAGATTTCACTACACAGCCTACAGAACATGCACCTCACCCAGCATTCACGTGTCTGGGTAATCTTTTCAGGTTTTAGGTAAAAAACATCTTAGGCTGCTTCTTTAACCAGTAACCATCAAGATTATTATTGGCATGTTTGACAGGAAAGGTAAAATAAAGACAGGGAACATGACTTTTCTGTTCCATACTATAATCTCCAGCTGCTTCTGCAGAATGGCTACCTAGTCAGCTGACTGTTCCCAGGGAGGGTAACCCTTGCCATCTGTCTTAATTTGTGAAACAGGAACTATCCCAATAACCTTTAATGAATCCAATACACAACAAGACCAGCCTGAGCATGAACAGGCTGTAATGCAGTACACAGAGGAAAAGATGGTACACACACGGTTATCTCTGAAAAACCTTTCAAAGTAGGAGAATGTTTTTTGAATAAACCACATTTGCCTAAAGTGTCTCTCATTGCAACAGATTTTATAAAGCCACTTGAAGGGCTAGAAGTCTCGTCTGGGTTTTTGCCCAGTGTCCCCTGAGCAATGCTGTGTCCCAGACTGTCTTTGCCAATAGCCCGTTCTTTGCCCAGGGGACTCTGCAACCCCAAGTCAATTGCAATCACATTCATGTAATTTCTCTGGCTGGGGAAGAAAACATCCCTTTTTAGCACCTTACAAGGGGATCTTTCCCGGTTTCAGCTGGAATAAAGTTAATTTTCTTCCTAGTAGCTGGTATAGTGCTGTGCTTTCGATTTAGGATGAGAATAATGTGGATAACACGCTGATATTTTAGTTGTTGCTAAGCAGTGTTTATACTAAGTGAGGGACTTCTCAGCTTTTCACACTGCCATATCAGTGGATGCTGGGAGTGCACAAGAAGCTGTGGGGGGCCACAGCAAGGACAGCTAACCCAAACGAGCTAAAGGGGTATTCCATACTATATGACGTCATGCTCCGTATATAAACTGGAGGGAGTTAGCCAGGGGGCACTGCGGCTCAGGGATTGGCTGGGCATCAGTCAGTGCGTGGTGTGCATCACTTGTCTTACATATTCTATTATTATTTTCCCTGATTTTTCTGTCTCACTAAACTGTCTTTATCTCAACCCACAAGTTTAACCTTTTTTTTTTTTTTTTTTTTTTCCCTGATCCTCTCCTGCATCCCATTGAGGGGGCGGGGAGTGAGCAAGCAGCTGTGTGGTGCTTAACTGCTGGCTGGGGTTGAACCACAACAGGAACTTAATCTACAGTTGTGAAAACAGACAGTCTGTTTGGGGGCAAGTTCAACGATTTCATTAGTTTAGAAGTGAGGTAACCACAGTCTCCAGGGTTGTGTGGTAACACTGATTCCGAAGCAGCTGATAGCTAAATTCCACACTTACCTCCTCCTTGACTGTACCGAACTCTGGATCCAGGGCTTTGAAGTGGTACCGGTGGGTTCCTTCACGATCAATAGCTACCTTAAAATCCTTCAGAGTTACTTCCCCTAACCTGCAAGGGAAGAGTTTGGCACTATCCAACAGTACACTATTACCCACTTTAGCTCAAATGCTACTATACCGCATGCAGAGCCACAGCACAAGTCTAGCTAGGCATGTGGCACCCTGGCCACAGGGATGTGAAGAGTGTACCCCTCCAGCAACACACCTGTCAACCCCAAGGTGCTCTTCAGAGGAAGAACCACCTCAAAACAGCCTTTTTCACTTTCCCTTTTGCATTAACAACCATAGTTGTTTTGACAGGAGTGTCCTGCACTACATGCCACAATAGAACTGCTTGGCTGATTTCTCCTGCTCTTGGAAGTTAATAAAGAGATTAATCTCTTGGGCCTCTAAAACAAACGCATCAGCTAGGGGACTGCTTGAGGCAATTTCCCCAGATAATGGCATGAAACCAATGCCTGAGTTAAGGCATAGTGAACCTGTGCTAGTTGTCCATACCCAGAGGAGATCAGACTAATGCTTTAAGGGAAATAAGCACCTCCCACAGCAGTGTCAGAAAGGCAAAGCCAGACCTCACCTCTTTGGTATGTTGACCATGAAAGGTGTGAGGGAGCGGTCAGTGAAGTACAACACTTTAGTGCAGGCACTGGTGCTCATCATGGGTGTGCTGTGAGAATGAGGCAGTTCTGCAAAGAAATGCGCACAATCATTGGGGAACAGCCCTTTTGTCTTCTGCCACAACAGGAGACAAAAGTGGTGACCTCACCAAATTTGCCATCACAGCAGAGAACCTGGTGATGGGAAGATTCTTGGGAGGGTGGCTAATCATTCCTGTAGGGAAGGGCCAGCTGTTCCCCTGCTTACTGAAAACCTTTGCATTTTAAGGTAAGGTCACTATCTAACTGTGTTGCTAGAATGGAAGATTTGCCTAGCACTGTCTTCCAGAATTAGTGTCCCATCCACAGAGGGGCTCATTAACACCATTTTCTCCACAGACACTCGATTCACTACCTCAGCAGTGACAGGAAGACAAAAATTACTTAACAGTACCCCATCCAGTACAGCTACATTATCACTTGCTGATGGGTAGAGCAGGATGAAGTTACATGCATGGATTTTTCTTTGCTCATTTGTGTTTCTCTCTGGCTACTGCCTTGTTTCCTGCTTCCCTGCAACATGCTGTGACAAAAGCTGAAGCAGAGGAAGGTTTACGCTGTGTGACTCTACAGTTTTAAGATACCCAACATACAGAAAACACTATAGACACCCATTCAAAGGCTTTCTAATTTCACAAATCTTTGGAGCCACCTTTTGGAGCTCTTTACACCCAAGGCATTCTACATTTGTGGCTGCACAACTCTATTTTCCTGCTGTAGTGGAGGGGGATGGAGCCTGCAAAAGGGAGAGGTACAGTTTGCATGCAGAAAACACTTGACTGGCTGCTCTAAAAACTGCAGTTTATGGTAGAGGAAGGAGAACCCAGAAAATCCTCCCCACAACCCACTTCAAGGCTTCTGAGTTCCTCTCCTACCTTCCTCCACATCTAGTACCTCCAGGCTACCCTGCCACTGGACACTACAATACGGCTAAAAGGTGGGGGCCTCTGTGTTTCCCAAGTACCTACAGTTCCCTACAACCTCAGACTTCCCAGGTGATGTTTACAACAAACATCAGAAAAAACAGCCTTCATGATGAAAGGCAAACATGGAGCTGCTGCAGCTGGAGCCAGGAAACGCGATGTCAGAAGGGGCTGTGCTGTTATGCATATATGAAAGGAGCCAGATGCTGTCAGGGGGGCGGGTGTGGAAATAGGGAAGAGGCAATTGTACAGTTATTGTACAGTTATCTGTGTCCACTAGATGGTGCAGACCAGCAGGAAAGCTGAAATAACATCGTGTTTCCCACTCACCCCAAGGGTAATTGTTTGTCATAGCTATTTATACTGCAGTACTACCAAAGTGGCTCAGACAGACTCCCACTGTGATGGTGCTTTCTAAACAAGCAGCCATAGATTGTCTCTGCCCTCTTTCCTTTGCAGTGAAGTCTAATTTGTACAGCAAATGACTAAAGAGAGGAGAGTGAGTTCTGGCAAAGGGAGTAAGAAGCTGGAGGTGGCAGATTCCCAAGGGGATGCTATGCCCCGAACTCTGGCCAGGAAACCTGAGCAATGAATTTGACAGTGGATGGGCAGGAGCTGAAAGGCACTTACTGGATTTGGGAGGCCAGGAGTCTCTACACTCATTTGTTGCTCTGCTTGCTGGTGATTTCCCCCGGATCTAGCGTGCAAAGCCAAAAGAGTGAGAACAAAGCGTCACTTCCCAGATGGAGCTCTCATTGCTGCTTAGGTCTGGGTTGTGTGTGAGGGGCAGAAAGTAAGAGCTAAGTGCTCTAGGAAGCCTTTACCCTTCTCTCTTGCCTCTTCTGTGTTTCCATGCGGTACAGCCGTTCCATCAGGCTGGAGATGCCCTGCTCCAGGCTGTCAATGGTGTGGTGCTGTGGATCATGGCCACTGAAACTGTTCCTGAGGCTGCGAAGGGCCTCACGAACCAGCTGCAAGTCGTTTGTCTGCCCAAGAGACCACAAGTCAGTCAGACTAACTCCAGGCTTCTTTCATCTAAAGCCACAGGCCTTAGAAAGGGGAAATATCTCTTAGCAAGATAATGGTTTCCAAGATATCGGCAGCCCTCGTCTGCATCTGGCTGGGAAAATACCCCTTGGGTGCACTTACCCCTCGGTGTGCTGTGGGAGCAGCTCCTTTTCCTGCTGTCTGGAGGAAGCCATTGCTCTGAGCACTGTGACTGCCGTAAGCCATCACCTGTTCAGGGGAAGATGCATGTGCCACTAGGAATATAAGTGTTAGGACCTCCTCAAAGATCCCAATTCATGAACTTCAAAATGATGAGGGGGCATGAAAACTTTCCAGATCAGTGATATAGCTCCCATCTTCTACCAGTTAAATACACTCACTAAGGAATGTGAAGGCAGTCCTATAGGTCAGAGCACAAACATGATTCCTCACATACAGGTGGAGAAAAAGACACAGAGAGAGGAAGGGGCTTGCTACTACATCAGAGGGCTCTACAAGCTCTAGTAAGCACAATCAGTGTTCAAGTGGTACTGTGTAGGGACAGATATTGGGGCTGGCACTCTCTCCATCAAGACAGTTCCAAGTGCTCAATACTAAGGTCAACAGGAAAAGAACAAGAAGCTAAGCCCTGGTCCAACTATTACCCAGTGTCAGAGCTGAAGCTAGAAGCCAAGAGTCTCTGGCTTCTATTCATTCCTGTGCTCCCCTCACTGTTTCATCACTTAGGATTTTGACGCAAGAGCTAAGACAGAGTGCCACTGCTGAGAGCTTTGGTAAGCTGGATGCTTTGTGGAGTGTGGTTGCCTTGGTTAGGGCACTGACAATGAGATTGCAGAGCCAGGCCTGTTTGGGATGGATGTTTTTTGGAGATAGGTAGCTAGAGGGTGCTGGACGGAAACATCACTCCAACAGTCTGATGTGTAAACCAAGGCTTCCCATACCTCTTCAGCTTCCTTCTTCATGCAGTGAGCTAGCAGGGCCTCTTTGTGCTCCAGCTCCCGCTCCAAATCCACCTGTGAAGGGAGTAGAATAGTCAACACAAACTGAGCCACCAACACAAGTGCCAGCTCTCAGGGCATCGTTGCAGCCCACCTGCGCCATACCTGTTGGTAGCTGGCCTCAGAAAGCTGCCTAAGCATTTCATCCAGTTTGGTCTGATGCTGCTGTAAATGCCGATCCTTCTGGCACAGTTCCTTCTGCAACACAGTAATCAAGGGAGTCAACAGGACAGTGGGTAAGGCTCACAATCATCTTCCCATGGCAGGGAAGGTTATGTCATCTGCCAGAATCAGGTTCCTCTGCAGGCTGACTCAGACAATGTATATACTTCTAGCTAGATGTTAGAACTGAGTGTCAAAGTTGGGGGTTTTTAACAGGTCGGTCAAGTTGTTGTTGCCTGGAGTCCCCTTGCCCAGTAAAGATCCCTTACTGAGGCCAGACAGATGTCCCAGAGAAAACATATTCCTGAAGCATCAGTGGACAATCAGGTGACCCAACCTAACCTGATAGACTTCTACACAAGTGTTAGATGCTCAGAAAGCCACCACAGAAAAAACATGACAATAAAAGGTCTACTAGAAAAAGCTGTGGGAAGAACACACAGAACATGCGATCCCTCCATCTCATTGTAAGCACGCATGGCTATTGCAACTTATTTGCTATCCACAGTGCCATTCTCAGAGGTGACAGTGCCAGGGAGACAGCAGTCACATTCACAATACCGAAAAGCCACCAGATGCTGCCCCCCAGCAATGCCTCCAATGAAGAGAGGTTCCATTACTTTGTATTCAGCCAGTAGCCGGCTTCTCTCTTCAACCTTCCTCTGAAGGTCAACCTGCAGAAATAACACACAGGTGTGAGGTATGTATTCCTAGAGAATTAGTGACATCCTCTTTGCCCCTTGTGCTAAAGGGTGACCTGAGACCAAATATCTGCAGAGTTCAAGGGAGAAGGTGTCTAAGGATGGCAACCTGTCAGACAGGACAGTTCCTTCCTTGTCATTCTCTCTCCAGAGACACAATGTACATGGCAGCTCCACTTGTCAAAGTGCCACTTGCTAACCCAGGGAGCACAATGAGGAAGGGAGAATGCAACTGTACGGAAAACATCATGGGAAGCCTCGCCCTGTTTCAGCTGAAGGTCTTGGAGGACAGGAAGTAGGAGTGAAGAACAGGAAACTCCAGTGAGACTCACAGCTGGGTAGTAGCCTGTGTGCAGTTTTTACTATGCAGAGACCTTTGACTGGTTGTTCACTATCTCATGACCCCAAGAACTATGCTGCAACCACCAACTCGACCCTGTGGCTGCTGGACCCCTCAGGGCCACCAACCTTCTAAAATAATCTCGTCCTCAGCAGCACAGTGACTCACATTCTGGTTGTGCAATTCCTCCTTGTCCATGTTTGCTCTCAGCAGTTCCTGCTTTAGCTGAAGAACTGAAGCATCCTGTTGAATCAGCCTTTGCTGTAAAGCATCCTAGGAAAAGATGTTATTTGTAGGAAGGTGCAAGACAGAGGAAGAGATCCTTCCCTGGGAAAAGAGTGACCTAGACCAGCGGCCATAACACAGTGGGGCCACTCACAAGGCCCAAGGGCCCAAGAGAGCAGGAGGTATATGGACATCCGCCCAGTGGGCTCTCAGCCCTTCTGCTTTTCTCTTACCCAAAAGTGATTTCCCTGCCAACATTCTAGCCATATGGGACAGAGGGATTTCTGAGCTTCTCCCTGAACTTCCTGCTCCAGAACTGGCCTGACAGTTTGCTCTTAGGGAAGAAAACAGCAGTATCTCTGGAGGGTCTTTTCAGTGGTCTACAGCTACTGTCTCCAGCCATACATCTGCACAATCCAGAGGGCAGAAAGAGGGCAACATCAGCCAAGGACACAAGGAAAATTAAACTCAGAGTATGATGTAGTTGTACAACAAAATCCTCTCCGAAGAGGCCAAAGTCAGGACTAATTCTGCACATTTCACACAGTGTTACACAAAAGCAGGGCCCTACCTTTGACAGCTACTGCTGTTTGCTTCCCTCACAGGAGCCTGATGGGCAACTCTAAAAGTAACTCTGCTCAGTAGATTATTAGTGTTCAGAACTCCAGAGGAAGAAACTGAGCAAACGGGAGCCAAAGTTGAGAAAAATGAGGCAGCTGAAGAGGACAAGGATACCCTTGTGCTCTTTTTCCTCCGCTGTCAAGAATGAGTTCACTGGGCCAATCTTACTGTCTGTACCCCAAGATGAGGGGGGAAGAAAAAAAAAGCCATGAGAACCAAGCAGGCATCCTACACCTCATATTTTGTTTAGGGGAAAGTGACAAAAGACCATAATCCTACAGACAAAAACAGAACCCGGGAAAACCTAACTCCTTGTGCCTGCCCTACCTGCAGTCTCTCCTCAGAGCTAGAAACAGACCATAGGATTCCCCACTTTCAAGTCCCCTAATACAACTCCCTCCATATCTGAGATTCCTCAGAGCCATATGGTTGCTGCTGGCCCTGCTCATGGGCTGCACCAGACTCTAAGCCTTTACTATTTATATTTGAAGAAGTGCCCCTTTCCTCACCTTTATTCCCTGTAGGTTTCGAGCTTCTTGTTTGTATTTCAATAGCTCCTTCTGTAAATGCAACACAATGTGATTAAATGGCATCTTGTCACCCCTTCTGAATCTACCAAAGTCCCTAGACTCTGTCCCCACACACCTGCTTCAGAAGAAAGCACATCCCACCTTCTCCCACAAATCAAAGAGCATGTCAAGCCCTGAGCCATTTTAATGACTTAAAAACATGACAAAACAGTTGAGCAGCTCCCTGAGCCCCTGCTATTAAAGCCATGAGAGAAAAAGTTTGCCTAGTCCACCAAATCTGTCCTTCAGAGTAATGTCAAATACTTTTCTCCCAGCATCAGAACTGGTCCCAGAACCAGCATCAACTGAAACCTGAACTAAGGCAGGCTTGACAGGGCAGGTTCTTCTTAGTTGCATTTATTTCCTACTTGAAAGATTGTTTACATTCAGACATGACTAGAAACTTAACAGCTGTCCTGGATAAAGTTTTGAGATGCTAATACAGCCTGGATCTCTCCAGCTTCAAGAACATGCAGGAAAAATCTACTTCAAGGCTCATTTAAATTCCAGTAACACCTAGATACTTCCTTTACCAGTGTTGGCTTGAGGTAAAGTGGGGAGGCAGCATGTATTTTTCTGGTGCTATCCCACAATCTGTTATTAACTGCTAATAAGGTACAAAAAAAAATTCCCAGCCAGATATTGTGAGTGTTCTCCAGGTCAATTAATTACAGTCTCCGGGAAGCAGATATATACATTCCTGAAGGGATGGAGATCTGGCACAGCAGAATATGGGAACAGAGTTGGAGCCCTAACACTATAGATCCCCCATGTCATCCATTGTGTCGTCCACCCTCCCTTGTCCACACCCCAGCCCCTCCCAACACCACCACACCCCCCCACATCCCCCCAATTCAAGCAGGACGGAGTCTGCAAAGATCTCTTGACCAAAACCTCTCTTTCCCCTTCATGTGTCCCCCTCTAACCTTTAGGTCTTGATTTTCTTCCATGCTCTGGTCCAGGCGACTTCGGATTATGATCTGAATGTAAAATACCATGGTTTTTATTGTGCAAGACAGCTGCCCGTGGCTGAACAGTGCAAAGTGCAGCTTGATCAGAGAAATATAGGTACAGCAATGTGCTCACCAGCTGCTCTTCAGGGCAGGCTCCACGTTCACAAAGTTCAAAGGACCCTTCCTGCTCATCCTCAGGTAAAGACCCATTAAGCAACAAAGCCTGGGAAGATGAAGGGAAAACAAATCTCTTCAGGGGTTTCAAAGGAAAATAGGCTAGCTGCAGCTCTGGCTAACAGTCATTCATATCAACAGTCTCTAAACAGTTTAATTTTTCATTTCTGCTGACTTATTCCCCTCAAAAGTGTGCAGAATTTTCCAAGAATGAACAAGGGTATTTACGCCCTTAAAAAGCTCTCCCAGAGACATCTGTCAGCCAGTACTCCTCCCCACAGAAAGATACTAGACAAGAACAACTCAGATTCTCAGGGAGTGAAGTCTCTCAGGCTTCAGTCCAAGGGTTGCCTCCGCTACAATGACAAATTTGAAGTCTAAAACAGAGACTGAACCAGGTTTATGCTGTAAGGCTTCTCTACTGGAATGAGGCTGAAGCATCCCCTGCTGAAAAAAGCCATCCTCCTAACCACACATCCACAAAAGACTTTAGAAACAGGATGTTCAGGGAAGCCTACTTCTGTTCTACATTAGACAAGACCAAGACACATTCAGAACTGTTGTTCAAGTCAGGAAGAGCCCTCACTCACACAGACAGTGAAAAATCTCAAACTATGCCCTGCACTTAAGGAAGACTACTAGAACAGTACTAACTCCTTCAGCAGCTCCAAGGTAGCCCAGGTGTCTGCAGGAAGATGCCAGAATTCCCACAACAGACTGAATCCAGCCTGAAGGAGGGAAAAGCGTGCACTGTAGGAAGTGTGACTAGCAGGAACAGGCCAGATCTCCAGCAGAGTATACCATACTGGTTTTCTCTATCTGATGGTTTTTTACATTGACCTTTCTTTCTCTAACTTCCAGGACTTAGGGCACTTGTTATGTGCCAGGATACAATTGGATACGTTGGAAAGAGTCACGCCTCCTTATTTCAGTTAGCTTTCTAGTTCATTTCTATTTGAACTCCATGGCTAAAACAAAATATCCCATTTGCAGTAACACTCCAGCTCAACACCAAAAGGCTTCAAGACTGACAGGTCAGGATCTGCCTGCTGACAGAATCTTCCACTAAAGAGCTGCAGCTGCTACCTCATCCAATCTGTACTCAGCTAATGCAAAAGCTGTTCAGAAAACTGTTTTCTGAGTGCAGCCCAAAGTCTTCCCAGCAGGACACTCAAGCAGGAATTGCACAGGAACATAAAAAGCTGCCATGGTTTTAGTGCCTTATGGGGTATACTTACATCAGGTCCCTGATATTTCAATCAAACTCTCATGACCTGGAGGCTTTTAACTATTGAGCAAGATGGGGAAAAACAATTAATCAAATCCAATTTCTTGGCTAGCAACATCAGCTGCCTCTTCCTACTCTCAGGGGATGAGGGTGCAGGAATGCCAGCTGCTCACCCTTGCTACTGAAATGTGGGGACAGGGTTGGAGGAACAGGACATGCTAGTATCTCCAGTGTTGCCTCTCTCCCAGCGGGCACATAATGCAACCAGATTTTACCAGTGAATCAAGCTTTTTTTTTTTTTTTTTTTTTTTTTTTTTTTTTTTTTTTGAGTCTTTTGTTTTGGGCCCATTGTCCACAGGGAAGGTGTCTGCCCGCCAACACCCCACCCTCCTTCCCGGCTGCCTATGCTTCTCACACAATCTCTGCTTTGTTTACTGGCACATAAATATTTACAATTCAAAGCCAGTATGGTTCCCAGCACAAACAGAAAGGAATATTCCTAAATTCAGGGTCTTTACCATATGGATCAGGGGCTCTACTCCCCATGCAGAGTCAAACACATCAGGCTGAGGGTCATTTGGTCAGGGAGGGACTGGAATAGAGCAGCAAGGAAAAGGTCTCACAATAAATAGTTGCATGGAGAATGTGCCAAATATTATAGTTCAGCCTAGCTCACTGAAAGACTGATGCAAGTTTGTGTCACCCCTGAACAGCTCTGTGAATCTTGATTGATTTCCTGACATACCTTGTCTCTCTGCATTACTTCCGATCACAAATCACAGAAAGACTGCTCTATTCTCTCAGGCTGCTAACAAAGCTTGCAGGCTGCTAAGCGCCCTGATGAAGAAGGGGAGTCCTAGGTCCAGTACATGGGAAAACACTGCTTCATCTTTACCATTTTGCACAGTAACAGCACATACAGGAGTTAACACAGCATCACACGATGGAGACCAAGCCAATGAATTCAGCTAGGATCTGGACTCCAACCGAAAGGCAACACAGACATATTCACCTTCTAAATACAGGTTTCGTTTTAGATTCTCTACAGTGGTTCTGTTCTTACCTGCATTCAGTGTGCCCTTTGCCCTCTCGCAGTTCATTGAAATTACTATTATTGAATATCACTGATCTTCAGTCTTCGTAGAAATATAAGCTTCCTCTCTCTCTCTCTCCACACCCTTCTCTCTCCCTCCCTACTGAATAAGAGCCTCAAATCATGTCAACACCAAGTTTTGGAGAAGTCTGAGCTAAGAAAAAAAAAAAGGTTGAGTCTGAATTGCACAGACTGATATTAAAATCCTTTCCCTGAAACCCTGGTGAATATACTAGGGCTGGGGAAGTTGCAACCATCTTTCCTCCTTCCCTGAGCTCTCTTGGTTAAGCATGCTACACAGTGACAGGTAACAGGCACACCCCGCCCCAAGTAAGACTGTGGCTGGATCTACCTGTCTTCAAAATTGCACCTGGAACATTGGAAAGGATGGTTTTGGCATTCCCCATTCTGGAAAAGGTGATCAGCACCAAATCACAATTGCAGGAGCCCAGAGAGCCTAAACACTGCAAGAAAGGAAGATGCCAGAGTGCTTAGTCAGTAGCATTCTGTTGCTGAATAGGGTTTCTGCTGGCTGAAGCCAATATACCCCAATACACACTATCCACACTATCAGAAATACTTTCTCATTTGCTCAGGAACTTTTCCCTGAAGGGATTCATCCCACAGGGTGGGACACAGGGAAGAGTCACTGTCCCTATTTAACTGAGGTGAGCTAAGAGACCAACTGCCTTCTTGAACAATCACCCCAGGATACCTCGCTGGACCAGGAGTCTTATTCAGCTCTCTCAAGTTCCAGGCCAACGTCTCAACTGCAAGATAATCTATCTTCCAGCTAGAGCCGGTGGGAAAATAAATGCTTGTGGAAGGAGACACTGGCTGAAAAGAAAATCTATTACCTGCAAACCTGAAATCATCTTCTTCGCTTCCTCCATTTCCTTTTCCAAATAGTCCTGTTGTTCCAAAAGCTGCTCCTCCCATGAATTCTCCACATATGACCCAGGGTTCCCTGCTTGCCACTCAGGCTGGAAATGAGATTCTGTCTCTTCTGGAAGAGAGAGCAGCTGAATGTGGTCATGACAGACAGCGGAGTCCAGGAAAGACTTGCACCACAAAATAATTGCCTGCTGCACGCTAGCTATCACTAACAAACAAGTATGTCTTCTAACCAGTATCAAGGATGTTGCTACAGGTATGAAATCTTGTCTAATCTCAAGGATTTATGCTTCATTCTTTATGAAAAGGAAGCTTTCCTGCATATAAATATATCAAAGATAAGCATCTTTCCCCTTCCTTAACTTTGCTGCATCTGTTTCCTGACTACTGGAGATTTCAAAGCACATCACAGGGGACAATGCACTGCACCATGTGTGGCAGAAAATACCTAAGAGGAGAAAAAGTCACTGTGGGATTTGAAGAGCATCTTTTAATGTCAGAGGGTACACTAAGGACCCACTGAATGCAACAGTAAACAGTATCTCTACTTGTAGTAGAACATGGCGTTTTCAGGGTGGTCAACACACCTAAATCTGAAAAAATTTAATAGCAAGTTAAATAGCCCTGCATGCATTTTCCAATACCCATAGCATAATCCAAATCATTGGTTAACTATCATCTACTGGCTGGTCCAGGAATGTAGATTTTTTTTTTTCTTCCCTAAGAAGGGATGAGGTTTGATGAGGAATAGCAATGCTCATTAGCTAGTTAACCAAAAGTGAAATTGGGCAATGCAAGCTGCTGTGCATTTGTAGACAAGCAGATGCAGTATCCTACTGTATGGGCAGCAAGCAGACACAGTTCTGCTAAGAATTTAAGGAAGAGCCACAGTGTGCCAGCAACTTCAGCTGATGAGATAGTCTGTGAAATACTTTTGAAGGAGCACTAGAGCAGGACTACAATGGCTGAGGCAGCAAAGCATTTCCTAAGAGAGCTTCTCTGTTATTTGCTCTTAGGATGAATGCTAACCAGAAAGAGTTATTATTAGGTTGCATTCCTGAGAAGGAAAATAAACAAAGAAACAAACAAAAAAAATCACTTCAGGAACTTCTTTGAAAACCTGTCCTTCGATCTGCATGAAAATTGTAATCATAAACTGACCATATCACAGGGCATTTGTGGCAATACAGCAATGACTTCTCAATGCAAACACCACAACAATACTACAACTGTTCAATCCTTGCAAAGAGCCATTCAACCTATATACAGATGTGCTGTAAACACAGACCCTTACACAAAGTCAAGTTATGCATCATGGACCTGACAAGCTCACGTGGACTCTTTCTTTACAGGAATTTTAAATCTGTTTTTCAACATGGCCTAATGAGGCTGTGATGAAAGCATTCACCTTACAGTGAAAATTATATGTGACCTTTAATCCCTCTCCAGAGCTTTTTATTTCCCAAGCATTAATTTGCAAGCCTGACAGACATTGCCATGTTATGGCATTATTGTACTGTTAAAAGTTTGGGGATTTAGTTTTACGTGAACAGATACTCAGCATCAAATTCTCTACATCAATTTCAGTCACTGAGGAACTTTTCAGCAACTTTATGATACAAACAAATCCCAATGAAAGTGTGAGCTGTAAAACATTATCTACAAAGTACCTGTTTTAGTTTCTGGTTCTTCAGTGTGGATGATCACAAGTCTTTCCTTCTCCTCTGATGGGGCTACAGTGGATTCGCTCTTCGCGCTATGAATAGGACTGGCAGATGTAAGACTGCAGAGGAAAGCAGAAAGAGTTACTTCTAGTGCTGATCAACATCATCCTCATCTAAGATAAAAATGAATATGCTGGCAAGCTTATTGAAACTAAGAATTATGTGCATACTAGAGAAGTCATTAACAAACCAAACTGGGCACATAACTGTTCTATCACTTTACATCAGTGTCATAGCAGGCTAACTGACAAGTAGCATGTGTCACTTAATTTTCTTTAACAGAATGCAAGTTTGAGACTGTCACCACAGAATTCACATACACTCACACAGGGGCAAGATCACACTCTAATGAAGGTTTGCTCAGAAACAATTTACTGCAAGCCTTATGTTCATACTGCAAGCTGAACAAAAATCCAACTTGGCTTGCTTCATCTCTTGCTCCAGCTTTCAGAAGCACCACTTCACTAACTTGAAATTCCAAGGGCAAAATATTTTTGAAAGTCAGATATCACTCACTCATGTTCTTAGGTTAAAACTTCTTGAAAGTACCCACATATTTTCACTGGAGCCATCTCAGCTGACTGTGAGGTTCAAGCAATCTTTTCTCAGAAATTCTTCCTAAATGCATCACCCAGACAACATCAAAAGGTGGCTAAAGTTCACTGACCCATTCAATGTACCTCTAAAGTCACAGGAACTAATCCTTGCAACTGTGAGCAGGAGTTAATTTTTCATTCTCTCCAACACAGAAACAAAGGACAGAGAACAAAAAGAAAACAGTGTGGAAGTAATATAATAGGTTTAGAAAAATAAGAGGCTTCGACAGCTCGCCTTCTGCATCTTCCCAGCATGGCTGCTACATATTCCACAACACTCTCACAGAATTAGAAAAGCCTTGCAATAGAGATGGAAATTACTTGGTAGCAGCTCCTGTCTGGTCCACTCCCACAGCCAGTGCTGGCCTACTTCTCATTTATATTACAGACCTTCAAGCAGTCTAGTTTTAATGGTCCAGACTAAAGGGACTTTCACCATGTCAGAGGAAAAGATGAATGCAACTTACTAAGTGAAAAAATAACCGTCTTCTAATGGGGATCTCTAACAGCTACAGTACCAGTTCTTCCCTGTTCAAACAGGGTGTGCATGATTGTTAAAGGGGTCCAGGCTACCTAGCTTTGTTCAAGGATTTATCTTCAGGAAGGTTAACTCCATTACAGCAGTCCCTGATTAGGCACATTTTGTATACAACATCTGTAACCAGTCCGCTGCTCCTGCTTGTCACTGAATGGGTGCACAGCATAAAATTAAAATAATTGTTCAGGAGCCCACAGAGTACTATTGGGTTTGCATTATGTAATAAGTCAGAGGAAAGGATGAAACTTTCAAACAGCACAGGTACAAACAGGAAGCCTAGCTGATCCAACCTGTCCAGTAACTCAGAGGGATTTTACTTCCTTATAAGAACAGATCTCAGTATTCCCCCACGTATTCTCAGCTGATACTCTGAATGTGCCATCATCCTGGTAAGGCCACCGAGAAGTGCATTGCTGGTTCTCATCCATGCAAAAGATTAAAAAATGAGAGCTGTAGTAGAAAAACAATATTAGCAAGTGTTGGGTGAGAAGGTGGTAAAACTAAGGGATGGGCAAGAGCAAGGAACTGAAAAGAAGAATGAGCAGGACAAAAACACAAGGGGATACAGAGCCTGGAAATAACATTCTCCTCTTCCAAAGTCTGCTCCTCTCAGCACTGGATCCACAGCCCAAAGCAAATACAAATGGTCCCAGCTGGGGCTAAAGGGGAAGCATTAAGTGGTCACTCCAGGTCTCCACAACATAGACAGTTTTACAGATAATTGCTTAGGCATTCCTATGTCCACAGTACCCTTTCCAGGCAGTTTCCCTATTTTAAAAGGCCAGTGGGTTCACACAGCATCAGTGACAACCTCTCAAACCATGCCAAACAGTGAAGGAGCCACTGAGATGCACTCAAATGAAGCAGTAGCACCAGCCAGGTTGACTCATACATTATGCCAGCAAGTTAACACTGGAAACATTTCTACAGTTTTAGTATCAGTCACCAAACCCGTTAGAGTGTGAAATATCCACTGATGTAATTTGTTCTTTAAAGTACATAACAATTTGTGATTAAAGCATGCAGAAATAAGTGCTGGGAAATTAAAGCTATTTAAGACAGATTTATGATACAAACTGTTCCACTTTATTCCTTTGCCAGTTGGTTTCTTAACTCGTATTCTTTCTCCACTTAGTCCCACAGTTGCTAGTGCCTGCACAGTCAAGGCTTTAGGGCAAGAGCCCCAGTGATGTCTGAATTCTCATAATTTTAATAAACATCCCATCCCTGCTGTTTCAAATGACAATGGCAACAATTGCTCACCATTTGACCTGCTTCCCTCCCATGATCCCACTTTAACCTTTCGCCTCACAGAATCCTTTTCCCAGGAAGCCTCAGGATTCTGGCTACAGACATGCCTTGTCCCTTCACATGCTCAGAATTCAGTGCAGAAGACGCCAGCTCCTGTCAAACTACTGGAGAAATACTTGCAAGCCAGACCGTTTTGCATTAGCTGAAAGATTCACAGCAGAAAAAAAAAACCCTCAGGGTCTTTGCAAGAGACCGTCGGATGGCAGATCAACAGCCCCCACACGTGTATTTGATTCCAGAGTCAGGGAATTCTGCAGCATGGGTTTTGCCTTTCTGGTTTTCCTCCTGGGTTATTTGTCTCTTGCTGCTGCATTCTGGTCAGCTGCACACCCAGTTTTCATCAAAAGGACTGCGATCCGGATTGCCAGGGGTGTTTCTCATCCCACTCTGCCCTCTTTAGACTCCAAGCACCTGCTGCAGATGCCAACAAACAGCCATGAGAAGGTGTTCCTGCAAGCAGTAGGTTCTCTGCTTTTTCAGGCTTGGATGCGGTCTCGGAAGACGGCATGCAGCACTTCCCAGCCCTATGCACAGCTTCCTCTTCCTTGCTATCTCCAGCTCCCTCTCCCTCCTGCTGTCACACAGGCTGTGCGAGGCAGAGCCTTTTCTCTGAGATGCCTGGCTCAGAGTGGGGGAGGGAAGGCTGGTGAAAGGGGAGGGGAAAGGGAGATGGATGGGTGAGGGGCTCAGTGGCATGGGAATCCATCTGATTTTGGCAAATTTTCTATGAATCATTTCAATTGCCTTTGCTTATTAGAGCTTTTGTCTCTGGGAATTCTGTTATTCAGGCTGCGAGCACTCTTACTGAAGAGTTAATGCAGAAATGAGCTGATGCTAGGCAGGGGATGCTGCCTTGGGACAGACACAACAGCAGCACAATTAGATGGAGGGGGGGTGGCTGTAGTTAATAACCATATCTCTCTCTGATAAAAAAAGTGGCTCGTTTCTTCCAGCCAGTTCTCATAATGAAGCTAGTACATTTCTCTCCGGAAGGAAAGAGAAACAAGCATCTTATTTTCATCATGAAGCCTTGTGTCAGCAGAAGACATCACCAGGAGCTAGAGGTCAGATTGCTCCCAATTTCTTTGGGTAGATCACTGATCACTTCTGTAAAGATTCTTACCATATTATGTCCTATTAGCAAGAATACCACCATTACCAAATGGTAAGACAACTCATGACATTACAGGGAAAAACAAAAACAACAACACAAAGTGATTTAGGATGTGCAGAGAAATTTTCACTCACCACCAAAATACAGCCACATGAGCAAACAGTTGTCTGACAATCCATTTATAAGGTAGAAAAATACACATAAAACACTATAGCTACCTTAAATTGAAGACCGAGTGGAGAGAGCAGCATGTTTCACTCGCTGAGAACACGGTTCAAGAGTCAACACCAAAGTCCTGTGACATTAGCCATGAAATCCTGTTGCCAAGACCAGAATTTTTACATCTCCCCTGAAATTACAGCTTTGAAAGTACACTCTCTACTGACATCATGTGGAGGCAACTGTCCAATACTAGTTCACATTGAGTTCCCACACTTTTCCAAATGTGTATGTCTATAAACACGACCTCACAATGATACACAGCAAATTTGGGGAATAAGTACAAACTTCTATTTTTTTTCTCTTTTGTTGGGCCAAGCAACCTTAATTCTCAGGTACACGGAAGGCCTCTTTGTACTATGGAGCATCAAAAGTGGCCTGATAAATCCTGTGGAGACATCCTGCTGGCCGAGAAGCTGTCAGTGGCAATCTGTCCTAGGAAAACAAACCTCCTCACTCCTGAACAAATCTGGGGGGCTAGCTGAGACACTCTCAGGGAGCAGTCCAGGCAGGACAAGGAGATGACAAAGCAGAGCTGAAACTTACACTGGGGACAGGAAATTGCGAATCAAATAGCTGCAGCTCTGCCCATGCAGCTCTGCCGCCTTAGTCTGTTCCAGAAAAGATTAAATGGAGCATAGCATCATATCCAGAGGGTGATCTGGTATGTTCAGTTACACAGTCCTTTGTCTTCAAGCTAGTTTCTTGTTCTCTGGGGAAAAAGGGAAACGCTGTCCTTTACTATGAAGCTATCCATGCTGGATCAGCTCCCTCACTGTAGTACCATTTTTCTTCAAAAGTCCCTTCAGCTACAGTGTCTCCTATATCCATGAAAACAGACAACACAGCCATGTGTCTCCTCTCTCCGCTCCACTGATCAAGTAAACTGGGGCAAGAGTTTTGCCTTCTGCCCCAAAGCAAAGGGTAGTAAGAACTTGTAAAACACCAGTGTAATGTGTTGTAACTGGCACATGCTGATCAGGTTCACAGCTGCGAATTGTGGCATCTCCTATTGGAAATGTATTATATGCTGTCATTCTAACCAATCCTGTCTTCTACAAGTTCCATTTCCTTAGAAAGCCTCCACTTGCACCAGCCTGACACTGCTTAACTTGTACAGTCAAGAACCCCTGTCAAGGCTGCAGGCTGTTTATAGCACAGAGCACATACTTCTCAGGATCCAAGTCCTACTTCAGAAGGGAAAATTACTTCCAGTGGCAACCATACTGAACTCTGACTTTCAGGCTTCACAACAGTATGCAGGAGATTTTTTTCAGTAAAATTATTAAATGCTGCACTTTAGATTGAAGGTGAAAGTCTGGGGGGTGGAAGGGTAGATTAGCTAACTGTAAAGCTAGACACAATTAAAGGTGATGGATGAGGGCGCAATGGCAATGAAGACACAGCTGCAGATCCCTCTGTGGCAATATATCCGTATTAAAGACTAGTGTGTTCCTGTAACTGCTGTTCAAATCCACATGACCCCTTACCTCCATCTCTCTTCAGGGCATGAGGTTTGTTGGTTTAAGTTCCTTTCCTCCACATCTTTTCCATCAGCTCTAAAATATTCAGCCCTTGCACCCCAGTTACTCTGCCCCTTCCTTTCTGTGAAGCAGGCCACAAACTTCATTTTAGCATCCCTCATGTCAGCACTCCCTCAAAAGGCTCCCTCTGTACATTCAGGTTCTCAGTAAAATCTGTAGCTGTGTCTTTCCTGATCCTATCCCCCCTGGTCTCACTGAGGGACGCTCCAGAGCTTTAGACAATTGTAACTCAGAAGTTCATGGCTCTTATCTATGCAGTCACATCATGAATGAGATCAATTTTATCTGTGGGACAAATGGCAATAAATCACTGCTTCATGTTGGTCCCTGAGGCTACATTCTCCAGATCAGGCAGGAGACTATATGCTGAGAATCCTCTTTTCTATCACAGCTAACCAGATCACAGTGATAAGAACGGGCATTTTAGGGAATGCCAGACCAAAGGACCATGAAGGGACACATCTTGGCAATAAAGTTCCTTACCTGGAAGAGTGGGACTCCAGCGGCATGTTCTGCTGCCCTTCATACTGCTTCACCAGCGCCCGGACACTCCAATAGGGATTTTCAATCTCCTCATCCATGCTGCTATTTCTGGAGATAATAATCACAGAATGAGGAAAGCCTCACCTGTTAGGAGCAGAAATTCTCATCTCCAAGAAGGAGGGTAGGAAAGCTAATGAAAGGAAGGTAAGAAGAAGATGACAGCTAGAAAACAGCCAATTAAGAAAATTCCATGAGGGAGCACCATCATGTAAGGGAAACACAGGCAAACAGGCCCTCCCCTTTTAAACTCATCCCTAATTCTGTGACTAGAAAACTACAAAACCCCTGAGAAGGCAAGGAAAAGAATTTGCAAATAGCACAAGAACTTACTTTTCTGAAGAGCTCCTGGCCCAAAGCCTTTGCAAGAGAAACCTTTAACATTTAATTTTTCAACAAAATATACCATTTCAACCTCATTTCCAAACTGCTTCATGGGTACTCCCTTGAGCCAACGTAATATGGGAAAATGACCTTCAGCTGTGTAAATTAAACCCTCAATAGACCACCATCTGGCTTACATTTAAATGTCATTACTATTCTTATTATAATCCACGTATTACCTTTTGCAAGTGTTAAATGTGCTTTTCAGATTTACATATTGCTTCTGTACATGGACCATCTCCCTTCACTACCACCAGAACTCTTCCACTTACATGGTAGGCTGCATCAGCTGATTAACAGCACACAACACTCTGCATCTGCTTATATAGCAGTAAGTGTAACGTTGGTGTGAACAGCAATATAAAAGACAGAATGGACTTGTACAACAGGCTCAATGCCTCAATTCTGGAAGTAACTGCTCCCAAATCTGTAACCAGTACCTGTAGACCTTACTTTTGTTTCACCTGAAATGAGAATGTCTCCAAGTAGACAGCACCAAGAAAGGGCACTGTGCTCAGCATGAAATGGGGAAAATGAGGCAGCAGTTCCCTCTGGTTTGGCCATAATGAACTGTTCTTTTCCAGTGAGATAACAGAGATCCAGCAGATGTAAATCCAACAGATTTTGCTGTAAAACCTGAAAAGAACCTGGGATACCTGAAGTCTTCATCATGAGGCAGCCAGGCTAGGTCAGTACTCCCCTTTGTTAGGCCACTATCTATTCAGGCTTCAGTGAGACAGCAGCAGTTTCACTCTGTTTGCATAATAAGATAGCTACCTTCCTACCTTACACTAAGAATTGTCAAGATACAGAGGCATGTATCTTGAAAGAAATCGTGTCCATCTGCTAACATGACCTGACCTCACCTCACATAACCAGGGAAAACTCATTACCTCTGTCTGTGCCGGAAAACATCCCTGCCGGATTGCAAGACATCTTGACGAACATCTGCCAGAGCAGCTACTGCCCCCTGGGCCACTGCAGCAGCTGAGCGAGGCCTGTGACTGGCAGACGATGCTGACAAACTCTTCCCCACTGTGCCAGCAGGGCTATGATTCACTGCTCTCCCGGAGCCTGGTTTGAAATGAGCAGCTAAGGCCAGGATCAACCTCATGATAGATTTCAAGTTCCCATCAACAATATCTGCAAAATGCAAATAAAGCCAAGGACATTAACATGAAATCCCACCAGAGCTGTATCTGACCAGAAGTCATGAAAATAATGAAACCCAATGGGACCATGCCAGTGAACGAAGACTATGTAAAAAGGACTGCATTACAGCACTGATGCTTAGCTCTGCTTGTTTTGTACAGAGCAGCAAACTGACTGCCACCTACAGATCACAAGTTTAAATGATTTGAAGAGACCTGAACCTTCCCTCTATGGCCACTTCCAGCTAACGATCCAGTAGGTTACGTGACAGCACACGGTAATTACTGAATGCTCACTGGAAAAGTACAGCAGTTACTGAAGACTACCACTGTACCAGCAGCCACTTCAATTAGCACGTGAATTTGCAATTTTTTCTGGTACTAAAGACCACAGAACAGCAATGTATTTCTTTAGCAGTAGCATTCTGTACCAAAAAGTGTTTGTAGCACCTTGCAAATGTTAACTAGTTAGTTTCAATAATATCGCACTAGGCATTTCCCCCAGCATACAAACTAGCTCAAACACGTTATCTCACTTTCACTCCAAAGATCAGCCCTTCATTCAGACTAGGATTTCTCAGAACAACTTAGTCAGCTGAAATACTCAAAGTCCATTAAAATAATAGGAATAGGGTTTCCAAATATCTGAGGCAACCTACAAAAAATAATCGTAAGTGCTGGGGGCATGAAGGCTGATTATTACTGGCTTTAGTATCAAAAAAATTAGAAATAGTTAAATAAGTCACAGTGACTGTTACCTCCATGTCACTCATGGAGGACGTGAAGCCAAAAGACTGTGTGAATCATTTGAAGTCCTAGAGTGAGTCAGTCAGAACTATTAGTGCAGCTCAGAAGCCTGTGTCCCTGAGTCTCATGCCTGTATCTTATCCTATGACTACATGACATGATTTCATTGCATATCCAGGTTGCTACCTTTGCTTATCTAAGACTTTTACCAATATTCCTATTGCTTCTATAGTCATGAGCTCACAAGACAACTTGCAACATTACTGAAAAACAGTACAGCCTCCAATCTGCCATCCTCATTACACTATACTTAAATTATAAGCTTTTCACTAAGGCCTGTAAACCAACAGCTTGTACTCTTCTGATAATAATAAGGGTCATGCATTCCATGTAGTCAATCTCAGCATTTTTCCCCTCTTTCTCATATGAAGGGCCACAGACAACCAGAACTGTATCACCTCCCTGTACAGTCAGCAAAGAGTAAGGATCAGGGCCTGTCTTCTACCCCATAGATCTACACACACACCAGAAATCCTTGTGAT